AAGTCATGTCTTATTTTAACTTGTAGTTTAACAGGACAAAGCTGAAGTTAGATTATAAATTACAGCGAAGCGAAAGCAGCGTTATTTAAATACATATACGTCGCACGTGTCCGTAGTTGCGAGCCAACTGAATGGCCGTCAGCGGAGCCGCTCAATCGGGCCGCGGGCGCCGAGAATGCGTAGCCACTATGTACATAAAATTTAACTTTTTGTCCGGAAATATTTTATTATTTAATTTCACATAAAATATATTAAACACTAAATATAACATTAAACAATAAAAGAAACTTAAAACTACACAAAATATATACACACACAAAATATATTTAAAAAAATAAAAACATTTTTAATCTCTAGACCGGTGGATGAGCTCACAGCCCATCTGGTGTTAAGTGGTTACTGGAGCCCATAGACATCCACAACGTAAATGCGCCACCCACCTTGAGATATAAGTTCTAAGGTCTCAGTGTAGTTACAACGGCTGCCCCACCCTTCAAACCGAAACGCATTTCTGCTTCACGGCAGAAATAGGCAGGGCGGTGGTACCTACCCGTGCGGACGGACTCACAAGAGGTCCTACCACCAGTAGTTACGCATATTATAATTTTGCGGGTTTGATTTTTATTACACGATGTTATTCCTTCACCGTGGAAGTCAATCGTGAACATTGTTGAGTACGTATCTCATTAGAAAAATTAGTACCCGCCTGCGGTATTCGAACACCGGTGCATCTCTCAACACGAATGCATCGGACGTCTTATCCTTTAGGCCACGACGACATCAATTCAATACGCATTACGATCCCTAAAAAACTACTGTCAGCTCTCAATAAATTTTAAATCGGACTCATGAAAATCACCAGCATTCAAATAAAAAAAGAGTAATTAAAATCGATTCGCCTTGAAAAGAGTTCTGAGGTCGCACACATTCGAATATATACAATAGGAATACAGTCGAATTGACAACCTCTTTTTTTGTCAATTAAAACTTATAGCATTCACTTAGTCTATATCGAAACACGATTATCATTGGACACTCGCATCCATTTTTATTTTTATTTTTTTTCCCTTGTAAACAGACGGGCATACGGCCCACCTGATGGTCAGTGGTTACCGTCGCCCATGGACTTCAGCAATGCCAGGGGCAGAACCAAGCCGCTGCCTACCGAAAATCCATCCAGACCTACCGAATGCTTAGCATCCTTAATAAAGTTTTTTACTGCTGATAGGACGTCTTGTTAATCAGCACGAGCAGATACCAACATCCTGCCTATTTCTGCCCTGAAGCAGTAATGCGTTTCGATTTGAATAGCTCGTATGTCAAGGTCGGTGGCGGCATTTACGTTGTAGATGTCTATGAGCTCCGGTAACCACTTAACACTAGATGGTCTGCTCGTCCACCCACCGAAGCAGTAAAAAAAGTTCAAACGGCATTCGCGTTGTTATTTGTGTCCATGGACTCCTGTAACACTAGATGGACCGTGAGATCATTCAGCTACGCAATAAAAATAAAAATCAATAAATATAAACGCTGGTTAACCCGCTGCGCTTGTGATACGCCTTTGCTTTACCACCGCCTAAACTCCGGAGCGAAAGAGGCAAAGTGCTTCAAAATAGTGTCGCAGGGGATGAGTGTAAATATTGGGAGTCTTATTTCATTTTTCTCAAAGTACCTAGGTACTCCATTAGGCGATCTAAGATATTGGAAAATTTGGTAAACTCCACGCGTAAAAGATATTTGAATAATGGCCCGTACAGAATCGTCGTACAAAAATAATCTCAAAAAAAAAAACAACTTAATGGCTATTTCATTTATTTAAAGTACAGTATTGCGCATCGTGCTTTGGAAAGAGACAATTGGCTAATTTCTCGGCTTCGTATAGCGTTATCTCTGTCGCACGTAGCGCTAACAGTCTGCTATCTGTTCCGGGTAATGTAACACCGAAATATAGTTTTTAGGGTTCAATCGTGAAGCCGGCGTGGAGCTATCGAGAAACTAAGGCGGAAAGTCGATTTCGTGAAACAAAAAAAAACGCGCCGAGAACATGAAACGCTCTCGTAGCGATAATCGTCTTTCCACACGCGTTCCCCGGGATAAGAGATTTTGATTGTCGCCAACCTTCATTTCCGGACAAAAAAGCATCGTTCCCATTTCCTTTTGTGTACACAGGATTCTTTGTCGAGGGGGTGTAACTAATTTCTAAAGGTTACCCCGGAAACGGGGGTGTTTTTTAAGATATTACTCAAGCAATTCCACTTTAATGAGGCGACCTGATTTGGCGAGACAATGCTGCTTTCATTATTGCAATTCCTTCGGGCGTCGGCTGGAAAACGTCGAATTCCTTTGCGATTGCTTAATATATAATAGATTCTTTAATTAATTCCTGACGAATAAAATAAAACGATTGCAGTGTTGTAGTTTTATTGTTTCCAAATCGTTTTTATTATTATAATATAAAATTATTATTTTTTTTCTCTACCTAAGCTGATAGCCTTGAGAGGCTATTTCAGCGTAACCTTAACTAGTAGGTGAGCTCACGGGGCTCAAACCGGAGTGATGCTAACACTGACCCTAGCAAGAGCAGTGCTTCGCAGAATCTACCACCGGATCGGAAACGCGACTCACTGAGAAGATCCGGCGAGAAACTCAGTGGTTTGTGTCTATGGGTTAATTCGCTCGTCGAGCCCTTCGTCGCAAGCGACGGGTTCGACGAGGACGGTGACCGGTAAAATTAACTGATCCCTTTTTTACGCCTGGCTCGTTCAATTGTCCTCGCTATCTTGCTTTTCTCTCTCATTCTATTTCCCTTTCTTACCGTTCTCTCACTCACATCTTAACGCTCCGTTCCACGCTCTTGTCATACGTTCCGTTTCTATCCATGTTACATGAATAAAATATAGGATTTCACAGTACACTTTTTTATTGTTTACGTTTATTTATTTATTGCTTAGATGGGTGGACGAGCTCACAGCCCACCCGGTGTTAAGTGTTACTGAAGCCCATAGACATCTACGACTTAAATACGCCACCCACCTTGAGATATAAGTTCTACGGTCTCAGTATAGTTACAACGGCTGCTCCACTCTTCAAACCGAAACGCATTAGGTACTGCTTCACGGCAGAAATAAGCGGGGTGGTGGTACCTACCTGGTGCTACCTCTTGTGAGTCCGCGCGGGTAGGTACCACCACCCCGCCTGTTTCTGCCGTGAAGCACTAATGCGTTTCGGTTTGAAGGTCAGGGCAGCCGTTGTAACTATAAGTACTTGAGACCTCAGAACTGATATCTCAAGGTGGGTGGCGTATTTAAGTCGTAGATGTCTATGGGCTCCAGTAACCACTTAACACCAGGTGGGCTGTGAGCTCGTCCACCCATCTAAGCAATAAAAAATTTTTTACTAGAACATAATTCGCTATTAATTAAACCGACTCAATCGTAGGTTGATTTCACCAAATCAACCTCAGACTCGATAGATGACAACACGAAATCACTTCCCTTGCTCTTATCTCAACAAACAAACACATTTATGTGTGAAAATGATCTGTAGTTGATGTAGTCTAGTCAACAAATTCAAAAACGTGTTAAATAGACATAAAGCTCCTAAAAATATGTACGATAGCTCATTGGATGCGGAATGATGTCTACAAAAATGTTTTTTAAGGGCTTATTAGCACATAAAAAATTGCGATTGTTATAAACAAAATAAGATTTAAAAAAAAAGGAATTTGGTTTTTCCTTAATAATTTCTAAAATAATGATATTTAAGGAANCATTGGAATTTTGAATTACGACCATTGGGCGAATGACGGAAGTAAAGGCGAAATAAATTACAACAAACCAATTGTTTATTAAGGCACAATAAAAAAAAATTAAATATTTTTTTTTATTTTTTTATTTTTTATTGCCTTATATAAAGCTAATAATATTATTTAGCTTTCAGGTGAGAGCAGTTTAGTTTATTTTATTATTAAATCCCACTACTGTTGTTGCAAAGACGATACGACACGTCCTTACGGATCCATCAGATCCAATAACCCTTGCATTAGACGCCTTAAGCTCTAACACTAGGAGCAGGCTTGGGAACCCCGGTAACCGTACTCCTCGAACTCGGCAAAGAGTTCGACGTGCAACTCAATCTAAACATCAACCCGCTGAGTTTCTCGCCGGATCTTCTCAGCGAGTCGCGATTCCGACCCGATAGTTGATTCATTCGCGAAGCAGCTACTCTTGAGTTGTTAGGTCTCCTTTGAAGGCGCTCGAGCAGCTATTAGCAAATCCTACCCCTCCTGGCTAAGCCTTGCTTGCTTACGTGTCCTGGTGAACTGGAAAAACCTCCGAGCCACCAGTAATCCATCAATCATAAAAAAGCCGATACCTCAACTATTATTTTTCTGAGAACACTAGCAAATGCCATATTTTAAGTACAACTATATACAGTTTCTCGCGAAATTCGAATAGTCAGCATGTTTATTAATTTTATTAATTAAATCATACCTTGAGAATTAAATCTTTCAGATCAAGGAAACTTAGGCTTGTTCTGTTCCATGAAATTGCTGTCTTATCCTTCCTTCTAATCTTTTTAGATTTCTGACCTCCCCGTAGGTAGGGCAGGTCATCATAACCATTCAGATAATATATGCGGATGATACTGCCGTCCTAACCAGACCACTTTCAGATTTCAGACAAATATGAAGTACGAAGTTTCCTTACGTTTTCGGGCCCTCAATCTCAGCCAGTTGTCAGGAGCAGTGTTCTGGAACGTCATAGAGCGAAATCGGTAGACTTGCCAGCTAAAATCGGTATATTTGTACTATTTTGTATCCAAAATTGGTATTTGTCAAAAAATATACAATATTCAATCGAATTCGTTTATTTATTGAAAATAAAAGCGAAGGAGGAAGGGAACCTCCCTCCTCCACCCGGGAACCTCCACCCTTTATATGTTGTCGACACTTCTGAACCTATCGGATGTTATCGCAATCGTTTGTCGAAAATTACCACAAGTGCCGGAATTGTTGACACCAGTCAAAGAAAGAGTTACCAGGTATGTAGTAAATATCTTAGAGATATTTGACGAAGCCACTAAACTTGCAAGCGCTGACAAATATCCAACGAGTTCCTTGATAACACCAATAATTTGTGGATTAATTGAAAATTTAGGTACGATAGAGAATTCATTGCAAACTGATGAAGGTAAAATGTTTTGCTCAACGGTAAGACGCAATATGGTTGGTAGACTTTTAGCGTACGAAATGAGGACCGTGACCCAAATATCCACATATCTGCACCCAACACTCAGAAACGGCTTTCGCCAACCAGAGCACATGTTGTCTGCAAAAGAGATAGTGCGTCGTGAACTGGGGAATCTTCTTAAAGAATTTTCAACTCTCGCTTTATCATCGGAACAGCCAGAAGAAACCACAAACAATTTTAAAAAGCCTGGTATTCTGGATTTTTTGCATTCGCGAAAACGGGATATTCCGAACGCCACGGCGGCCGCAGTGAATATACTGCTATTGTATATTGAGACTGAAGCCGCCACAGGAAACCACACCGAAATTGCTGACACTTTTTGGATGAGTAATACTCATTTAAGGCCTTTAAACAAAATAGCATTTAAATACCTATTAGTCCCAGCAACTTCTATGCCTTCCGAACGTATGTTTTCGACGTCGGGGTACGTGCTAACATCCAAAAGGAGCAGGCTTCTGGTTGACGCAGTGGACCAAATATGCTTATGCATCAAATTTTTTCAAAAAAAATTAAAATGTTTTTTATTATTGGATAATATAAATATGATCATTAAAAGCCTATATAAAATATGCTCACCCAATTAATTGTATGAAGAAAACTCTTTATTTGCACGTAAATTTGTTTTATTTAGTGATTATTCAGCCTTTATGGAAAAATCTAAAAATACCTTAAAAAAACCGGTTTTTTTTTGAGAAGAAAACCGGTAATAAACCGGAGCCAGAAATTGTAGTCGGTTCACATCGCTAAATCCCACTTTATCCCACCTGTCCTGGTAAAACTGGAAAGTATTATCACATTACATTGGCAAGTGATGTTTTGCGCAAGTCTACTGGAAAGGCCTCCGGGCCACCAGTAATCCTTCAATCATAAAAAAAAAAGAACTGCAGCGAGTTTGGAGATTCTTTGCAATATATATCAATTTATATTATTGAGCCTCGCCATGCGAAGCGCCAAAAATATCTAAGTAATATGTACCTAACACATTTGTGTTCACGAATATTCCCGCGAATGTGAAGAAACGCTTTTGTATTTTTCTTTGTCACATATCTATAGCGCGTTTTAAAAATACATACAGCGCCATCTGTTGGCAACTAATAAAACCTTTCTCGACTTCAACTTGGAAACATAAACAATCATTTTATTGTTATTTTTTTATAACAACACGAGTATTATGATAATAATTGTATATTTTAGCACCTCAAATGTTTCATTACATAATAATAAAGATATAAATTAATTCGGATAATTTCCGAACTGACAGTAAATGAAACACAATGTGCTATTGGTAAGTTTTTAAAACGGATACTTAAAAATAATAATCTACAAATATAAATATACATATAAACTTAATTAAAATCTATGAAATATACCAAATATATATTTGTTTTCTTAAAAGCGTATGCGAATTGACTATTCACCTTATTTCGTAATATTCTTATTAACAATAAGGGAAATATTTTTATTGTTTCATACAAACTCAAAATATTTTATTTCAATATATTTTCAGAACATTCAAAATATAATAACATTATTACACGATTGCGTCACTTATAATCTAAATAACATTCGCGGAGAAATTCCGAACTTTAAAAAATTATAATTTGGAATTTATGATAAAAGAAAAAATGCAACAAAACACTTTTATTATGTACCTACTTTTCAAGTTAAAGTGACTATTGCCATCTAGCGGTAAGATGGAGAACTCTTACATGTTCAAATTCCATTGCTCGCATAGNCATTATTACACGATTGCGTCACTTATAATCTAAATAACATTCGCGGAGAAATTCCGAACTTTAAAAAATTATAATTTGGAATTTATGATAAAAGAAAAAATGCAACAAAACACTTTTATTATGTACCTACTTTTCAAGTTAAAGTGACTATTGCCATCTAGCGGTAAGATGGAGAACTCTTACATGTTCAAATTCCATTGCTCGCATAGAATTTGGAATAAAGTATTTTCATGATTCAATTGGCATAGCGTAGTTTAAGACTAAATCATAAGATAGAATCATCATAAGTTGCAACATTAAAAAAGAACAATCGTGTTCAAATATAAAATTTTAATTGATAAATTTAGCTCCTTATTAGTACCATCTAGCGGTAAACATAGAACAACTTGGACATGTTATTATGTATCTCTTCACTGAATTGACCAGTCACCGTCCTCGTCGAACCCGTCGCTTTCGACGAAGGGCTCGACGAGCGAACTAACCCATAGACACAGCCCACTGAGTTTCTCGCCGGATCTTCTCAGTGGGTCGCGTTTCCGATCCGGTGGTAGATTCTGCGAAACACTGCTCTTGCTAGGGTCAGTGTTAGCAACTCTCCGGTTGAGCCCCGCGAGCTCACCTACAAACGTTAGGGTGAAGCTGAAATAGCCTCTCAAGGCTATCAGCACAGGTAGGAAAAAAAAAAAAAACTGAATTGACCAATTAAATTGACCAATTTAAATGATCTTTATTATCACGGATTTTATTTAACAGAAGTTTGAAACAGTGAACACAGAAGACTGATATTGAAGTAAACCTAATTAAGTATGATTATTTGTTGAATGAATTTCAACTGAGTTTTTTTTTTTCATTTAAACCACTTTACCGATATTACTAATATTCGGCAGAAGAAAATGTTTAGGTCACCTTTCAACGCAGTCGTGTCGATTCTTCGCTCATGTAATATAAACCTGCAAAGTATTCCACGGAGGTGAATCAACGGGCGAAAAGCTAGTGGTAAAATAGAATAAGATCGTACAAATAAGCTCATGTCATATTTAATCAATGGCATTCCCCAATACCTACACGCGTAAATACCAATACTCATTTCTGTCGTGAGGTATGCGAACTTTCAAAAATCGATATATTAATACGTGAAGCAAAAACTTTGTATCCCTTTTTACGAAAATTGCGCGAACGGAGGAGTATGAAATTTTCCACACTTATAGAGAATATAGAGAAGAAGTGCACAATGCTAATTTTTTTTTTAAAATAATGCATGAAAGATACATTAAATCAATAAAGAAAACATTACACACACTACCATGTATTTGACACAACACATACCTATACCTATATAAATTTTAATGTATACTCTTTGTTTATTGTCAATTGTCTAACTTATGTTAGTGTTTAAAGTCTGTGGTCAAATTGAGAATAGATGAATATTGTTTGTCTTTATTATTATTTATGTATATTGTAGTTTTGGCCAAATCTGTGATCACATGATATAAGTACAATAGTATTTGACAATAGAAACATAATAATGTTTAAAGATAAAATTTCAATTGATTAAAGTCGAATTTCGACTTCTACGGGACCACTAGTTATTATAATGTGTTCAAGACCTGTAAACTGCCTGTAAAGCATCGATCTATTACCATTATGGTAATGGATCTGTGCATTCCATCACTCCCCAACCAACCAGAACTTTTTGGCGGAAACGCGAGGAGTGTAGTTGTGTGATTTGTTTTATTTTGTCTATTTAGTGTTTCTTCTGGTTTAAATGTGTAATAACGGAGGTTTATTAACTGTTTAATATCTGTGAATGTGCACAAATGTGGGAAAACGAAACAAAGCCTCTGGACGTAACTTCTCGGGATCCTCCTCCAAAAAGTCCACTGAAAAAATGACCACCATTTTACTGAGATTATATTTCATCCCATATCATCTCATCGTATTTAATTTAATTTCATCCTAGTTGATTAATGTTTCAAATTAATCTCCATATTATCATTTTTCATAAAAATAAGAATAAAAATTAAAATAAGACATGACCTAAAGGTCTTAGTTACCAGGTCATAAAATCCCTTTAAAAAACCCACTTTGGCGCCTTTTGTGACTATAATTTCCACAAAAAGGTTAATTATCAGGCTAAAAATAAAATAAAACGTTGCTTCCGCAAACTGACTTATTAAATTGTCCCAAGCGTGGAATGTTGTGATATTAATAAATAACATAATTGAGACTCCGACCTCATGGGTTTCAGTAACTACTCAACGCAATGTACGGTGCAGTCGTCGAAGTCGTCGTGGCCTAAAGGATAAGACGTCCGGTGCATTCGTATCTAGCGATGCACCGGTGTTCGAATCCCGCAGGCGGGTACAAATTTTTCTAATGAAATATGTACTTAACAAATGTTCACGATTGACTTCCACGGTGAAGGAATAACATCGTGTAATAAAAATCAAACCCGCAAAATTATAATTTGCGTAATTACTGGTGGTAGGACCTCTTCTGAGTCCGCACGGGTAGATACCACCGCGCCGTCTATTTCTGCCGTGAAGCAGTAATGCGTTTCGGTTTGAAGGGTGGGGCAGCCGTTGTAACTATACTGAGATCTTAGAACTTATATCTCAAGGTGTGTGGCGCAGTTATGTTGTATATGTCTATGGGCTCCAGTAACCACTTAACACCAGGTGGGCTGTGAGCTCGTCCACATATCTAAGCAATAAAAATAAATAAATAAAAGTCTCTGTGCTCACCTGTGAAATGAATGATGATGAAAAAAATTAGATGCTAGCCTATCATTATTCATACAGAACGCAGGATTAGTGCATTCTTTAACCGGAATTTTGTGAACCACAACCCGAACAGTTTCGCCGGAGAAACCTGTCTTTTAAAGGGTAGGAGAGCCCTTAATGCCATATCTATCCGATGATTTGCAAACGAAGTAAATTGTCCCTTCGCAATAAGGTGACGGTCTACAAAATTTACATACGCCCGGTCATGACCTATACAAGTGTAGTGTTCGCTCACGCAGCCCACACTGACTTGAAACCCCTTCAAATCGTACAATCCCGTTTTTACAAGATAGCCGTCGGAGCCCTGTGGTACGTAAGAAACGTGGATCTCCACGACGACATGGACCTAGAGTCCATCAGTGAGTATTTACAGCCGACATGAGTGCGCCATTTTGCGAAAGCGGCACGACACGAGAACCCTCTCATCGTGGCCGCCGGAGTAATTCCCGATCCTGTGGACCGAATGGTAAACAGTCGACATCGCCCAAAACACGTCATTTAGTCGTAGCCGCCCATCATATCCCATCTTCAGTCCCCAACGCGCTGAGCGAAAGCGACGACTTTCTTCTTATCTAAAGAGTTGTAAAAAATATTCACAGTAACGTAGGTGAAAGTTCATAAAAAATAACCTTCGCCGAGAGCAAGATAAAAGCTTTATTAACAGATACGCATAACACGCAGAAAGCTTACAATGTATTATTAATATAATATGAAGCTTAAAATCTAATGAAAATCTTTAAAAACTGTTTTTACAAATCGGAATTCTCCATGTTTCCCGGCAGTACGCGAGTGCTAATAGATAGACGTCTTTTGAAAATTGATTTTTTTTTGTATAATTTATATAAAATGAAACACAACAATATGATTAGTATAAACGCGACACATACTTCAGTGAACATTGAACCTGAGTTTGTTGCTGGTGAGCTATCCTGGGCCTTTGATAGTCTCTCGTGTCTCGGCTCTTCTGTCATAGCTAAGATTTCAATTCGAGAATGTAACTGTGCAATATCGTTTTGAAGATCATTTAAAACATTCTGTCTTTCTTTCAAACGATCTTCAATGTTTTGCTTGATTTCGTTCACATAGGACAATAGATTTTCATAAGTGGCATTGCCTTTTACAATCGTTGGATTAGTTGTTATTATTTTAGGTCGATAAGATAAAATTCTCAACATTTTCTCTAACAAGTCGTTAGTTTTTCTGTTTTCATCAGCAATTGTATTTGTAGCGTTATATAACTTTACGTTGTCATCAGTTAAAGTTTTTTCTAATTTGCTCGTAATGTTTTTAATTTGACTTAAATCATTTTTAACTGTGACAGAAATATTATCATTTCGGTTATTCAAGGGTAAATTTTCTGTAAATTTTAATAAAATATCTCTGATTTTCATTAGCATTTTATTTTCCTCTCCGTAAATAGTCCTCCTATCCGTGGCACCTATAACTTCCTTACGTCTATTGACATTACATACGATGCCTTCGAAATTTTCAGCACTGTGTTCATCTATTCTCAACGAAGTCAGTTCAAAAGGAACATCATTCTGTTTGAATTTTACGATAATTTCACAAGGCAATGGATTCCCGCCAATGCTCAGCTTCTTTAAATTTGTACCCATGAAATCTTCAGCACTTATTGTACTTATCCTGTTATTATCAGCTATCAGTGTGGTTAAACTCTGCAATTGGTAAAATCTTTCACCCTTCAGATCGTCCAAATCGTTGTACGATATATCTAAAGAACTCAAATAAACGAGGCCACTGAAAATGCCGAATTGAATCTGCGTCAGTAAATTGTGTGAGATGTTAAGGGAATGCAGTAGGATGTTATCCTTGAATACCCCAGGTTGGATATAAGAAATTTTGTTGTAGCTCAAATCGAGAAATCTCATAGATTTCAAATCCGAAAACGCTCCGACTTCCAATTTAATTATATTATTTTTGTACAATTTCAAATCATCTAGCCTCTTCAGTTCGTTTAAATGCAACTTCTGAACGTTTGTTATTTTGGAACAAGAAATATCTAGAATAGCTACAGACGAGTTTCCGAGGCCAATTAATGATATATTAGGTTCCAAACCCGAGATAATCAGTTTGTTTAAATACATGGATGATTTCACAATATTCGCATTAAAGGCCAGTTTATCATTAAACGAAATGTCCAAAAAATTCAGATCTATTTGGTCTAACAGACTGTTAACTGAAAAATGTTCAATTTTGTTATGTGTAAGAATGATTTCTTTCAAACTCGTTAGTCCAAGTAAGGTTCTGTCGGATATAGTTTTAATAAAATTGTTATTTAGTAACAATTTTGTCAAGCTTGAAATCTGGGTGTTATTCAAGTTGAACTCTATTAGCATATTGTAAGATACATCAAGGGTATCCATATCTCCAGTGTGAGCGAAAGCGTTGTATTGCAATCTTTCGATGTTACTATGAGACATATTGACATTTTTCAATTTTATCATTCCTTCAAAAGAATTATTTTGAATAACAGTCAATAGGGTCCCGGATATATCAAGCGTTGGCAGAGAGCTGAGTCCGTCGAAGCTACGTTCCTCCAAGGCTCCGACCAGTGGGTTATTCCCTATTTCAAAATTTACCAACGATTTCAATGACGCAAACGAATTCGAGTAAAGCCGAGAAATGTTGTTGTTCGATAAATCTAAATACAAAAGTGAATTCAAGCCTTGAAAACTGTCACTATTTATGTAACTCAAAAAGTTGTTTCTCAACAATAATTCATGTAGACTCAAAAGATCATCTGTTTCGAATTGAATGTGTTTTATTTTATTATTAGATAAATCCAGATGAGCTAGATTCCGTAAAGTCTTGAAACTATTCACTGATAAATTTTCTATTTCATTGTCGTTCAACAATAATATAATAGCGTTATCTAATCCAAAAAATGCAAAGTTTTCAATCGTTCTGATGTGCATGTGATCCAATCGTACGTGCAGTACTGATTTCAGTCCATTGAAAGTGCCTTTTTTCAGTGAACCCTCCAAATTATTCATTTGAATTTCGAATCTCGCGATATCGTTGCCCTTAAACAAATCTGTCGGAAGGCGTTTAATGTTGTTATTCGAAAAATTTATCGTTTTGAGTGTTGTTGTATTCTTGAATAGTTCGTCATCGATAACTTGTATNTGATCCAATTGTACGTGCAGTACTGATTTCAGTCCATTGAAAGTGCCTTTTTTCAGTGAACCCTCCAAATTATTCATTTGAATTTCGAATCTCGCGATATCGTTGCCCTTAAACAAATCTGTCGGAAGGCGTTTAATGTTGTTATTCGAAAAATTTATCGTTTTGAGTGTTGTTGTATTCTTGAATAGTTCGTCATCGATAACTTGTATTTTATTATTACTCAGATCTATCTGCGATATGTTTAATAGATTCCAAAAAACGTTCTTCTCGACTACAGCTATGGAATTGAAACTCAAATCTACATATTGTAAGCTTATGAGATTTTCGAATTCATTCGCTTTCAATTCTACAAGTCTGTTATTTTGAAGATGGAGCTCTTTTAGATTGACGAATCTGAATAATGACGTGTTTATGTCGGATATTCTGTTGAAAGCTAGATTAAGCGTTAACAATTTCCTGGTACCTTCGAACGTGTTGCTTGACAAAACTTCAATCGAATTATGCGATAGGTCAATTGATTCCAGTAAACGGAAATCGTCAAATATCATATCCGGAAGACCGACGAGATAATTGTAAGACAAATTTAAATGTCTCAAACTTGTGTACGGATATTGGCCTTCAATTGTTTGAATTTCCAATATGTTATTAACGGATAAATCGATATCGGCAAGCGAAGGTAGCTCGTGAACATTTGAAAGTTGCGCAATTGACAAAAAGTTATTTGACATATTCAACGACACCAATTTTTCCATAGGAGTTAGTATCGGCGTAAACCTGATGTCGTTACTGCTGATGTTCAAAGACTCAATGAGATTTTCTGTGAGTCCAGAATATCCGGGTACTGTAAACTGATCGGACTGATCATTGCTACTGAAATCAATATCCCGAAAATTTAATGTAATTGGGAAAACGTTTTCGATTGAATAAATAGAAGCTGCCGTCTGGTTAACACATTTAGTAGGTGAATTGCTATTGTAGTTATAATTATCTAAAAAATAATTTACCGAGAAGTAATCCCAGCTATACCCGCTAAATTTACCATGGCAAACCATATTGTATTTACACGCGTTCTCGTCAAAACTGAAACTGCATGGACCCGACTGAACGAAAGATAACAAACCAACTAATAGGTAACCTGAAAATAAAAAATTGCGGATTAATAATTGCAGATTCACAGCTCCCGCTATCGGAGCAGAGTTCATCCATATTATCTGGAACCGCTGCGTTCATCGACAGTGCGTCTCCAAAGATCTTTCTGCCACGTACCATGCGTCTATGGAAGGAGCCCTCCCCTCCGCGGTGTTCTCCGAGCGCTATGACATGTCCTTCTTCAAACGAGGCTTGCGGAGAGTACTTAATCGTAGGCAGTGACTTGACTCTACCCCTGACATTGCTAACGTCCATGAGCGGCGGTGACCACTTACTATCAGGTAGTACATATGTTAGTCTACCTACAAAGGCAATAAAAAAAGAAAAAAAGAAACTTATTTTTATAGATTACATTATATTATATTTATTAAAGACTAGCTGACCCAGCAGACTTCGTTGTGCCTCAATCGATAAATAACTTTGCCTGCGGGATTCGAACACCGATGCATCGCAAGATTAGACGAGCTAAGTGCATATATTATTACGTAATTGTATTATATTATTTTAAGTTTTCTCTCGAGTTCTTGACTCGGTTTAGCTCCTAGCTCCCGCCCTGAAACCTTCAGGGAAGAGGAGTTTCGGATTCCCTTGAATTTATGAAGACTGTGTTACCCAAAACCTTACTTATTATTATATATATTGTGCATGTGTGTATGACTGCTTCTTTTTGTATTATACCTAGTCAGGGCATAATTGAAACAAGTTTATTTATTATGTAACCATTCATATACCAAAATGAACTTAACAAAACATAGATTCTTATGACACTAAAGTTTATTCAAAATGACCTCCGTGATTTTGAATACAGGCCTTCAATCTGCGCGGCCAGTCGTCTATCGCAGCACGAACGAGGTCCATGTCAATATCGGCGGCTGCCTTAATCAAGGATGTCTTGAGTGACTCCAAATTGGGATGAGGCTTTGAGCACGCCTTTTCCTCCAAGTGTTGCCATATCTTGTAATCTAACGGATTCAAATCTGGACTGGAGGAGGGCCAGTCTTCGTGCCGGATGAAGTCGATTTCACGCGCCGCCAGCCAGTCTTGTGTGCTCTTCGCTCTATGAGCTGGCGCCGAATCTTGTTGGAATACCCAGTGCCTGTTATTGAACATGGTATGAGAAACAGGTTCCACAAGGTTCGTCAGGACTGTATTTTGATACACAACTGCATTCGTTTTTACACCTTTCTCACAAAAATGTACCTCTGTTAAACCCCAATAAGAAACCCCCAACCATACCATGAGCGAGGATGGAAAATGACCTCGTTGGACACGCGGAATACGGTTGCTCGCTTCTTCACTACTGTGTGCGTACACCTTATCATTTTGTTTGTTGTAGCTCTCTTCTACGGCTCTTCTTCTCTAAAAATTTTTTCATCCGAAAAAAGAATTTCCCGATATTTTTTTCCCGCGTACCGCTTCAACAAAGCGCAATTAGACGAGCATTAAAACGATGTCCTGTTTTTCTTCGATATGCCCGAAGCCCTAAGTCTTCATTTAACACCCTTTTCACCGTGGTTCTGCTTAACCCCATCTGAAGGGCCAACAGTTTCTGCTTACGTTTGGGATTTCTTTGAATTCGCGTCTTCACAGCTTTTATCACTGCTGGAGTCCTAACAGACCGAGGGCGACCACTTCTTGACCTGTCATCTACACTAGAGTCTTCATTGTATCGTTTTATGGTACGATAAACGAATCTTTTGGTTGTATTCAAATTTTTCAGTATGTTAAAAATTTGAATTGGCGCGTAACCGCAACGATGCAACGCAATAACTGCAACACGGTCTTATTTAAGCGTCCACTCCATATTTAAAAATGAGTAAAATTCTAAAAGTATACATATTTTTATTTTCATGAACAATTCGACATTCGAATTCAATAAACTTTCTTGTGGCCAGCATTCTAAAAGAAAAGTTTTTACTGTGTGACAATACTTATGACCAGACTAGTTATGTATGTTTATATTTGCTTCCTATTTGTTTATGTATCTATGTATACTTTTTGCCACTACGCCTGTTGCGCCTATTACTATGGGGATGGTTTCTGTGTGTAATTTCCAGAGTCGTGTTAGGTTACTACTTTTAAGGGGCGATATTTACTAAGTTTTTTCGGTTCTTTTGGTCCTATATTGTAGTCAGATGGTACGGTTATATCTATTAAGTAGGTTTTATTTTCTGTCTTGTCTATGTATATTATGTCTGGTCTAGTGTGCTTTATTGTAGCGTCCGTCTGCACTGGTATCTCCCACATTAGCTTCGCGGAGCTGCTTTCCTTTATCTGAGGTTGAGTCAAATTCACCTTCCACCATAGCGGGTCTATTTCAAAATTGTATTTTCTTCCTATTGCCCACCAAATATACTTTACTATGTTGTTATGTATGTTCACATATTAATAATCTATATATATAAAAATGAATTGCTGTTCGTTAGTCTCGCTAAAACTCAAGAACGGCTGGACCGATTTGGCTAATTTTGGTCTTTAATTATTTGTGGAAGTCCAGAGAAGGTTTAAAGGTAGATAAATATGAAAATGCTCGGAATTAAATAAAATTAACAATTTTGTATTTCCTTTGATGCGTCCACCGTCGGACGGATTCCTTTTGTTTGTTTTAAGTTTATTTTATACAAAAGTTTAGGTCTTTTATTTATCGATTGAGGCACTACATTATTATATAATACTAGCTGACCCGGCAAACGTTGTGTTGCCTTAAATAAGTTTCTAAGGAAATTCTACTGTAGAAAAAAAAAACCTCCTTTAACCACATAATACCTCATTATAGACAAAAAAAAATATCCAAAAAAATTCACTTAGGGGTATGAAAAACAGATAGTAGCCGATTCTCAGACCTACTGAACATACACAAATAAAACCAAAAAAACATGGCTGAAAAATGTATAGTATTGTATAGCTCTCAAATATATTAGGTGTATAATCTATGATGTATAGTGAGTACGTAAGACAGGAGACCGGCTTCGTCCTCATCCCTACTACGTGATGTTTGCTGGATGAGTGGTGACACCTGGCGGGGATAGCTGATCGATTGATAGTTGATCAGTAGTCGACCACCGAGGGCGGGAGATCAAATTCAATTTAAAAAAAATCATAATTAAAGGAACTTGATATTATAAACTCTGAATAAGAATTTATCGTACTACTATTATAATATTTGATTGCCATCTTGCAACCTTATTGCGGATCTGTGCATAGAATAAAAAAAATATTAATCGGGATGGAAAAATAGGGGTTGATCGTATAAGAGTGAAAATTGAGAGTAATATGATTTTTTTTATCATGACAAAATAAAAATGAAAATCTTGCCAAAAAAATTAAAGTTTATAATTAACCAATAAAAAATAGGGGTTGATCGTAGAGGGGTGAAAATTGAGGATTGTATGTATTTTTGTATGTTGTATCATAAAAAAATAGAACTTAAAAATTTTGTCTAAAAAATAAAATAAAAAATTTAGGGGTGGACTACCCCTAACATTTAGGGGGATGAAAAATAGATGTTGGCCGATTCTCATAGATACCGGATAAGCACAAAAAATTTCATCAAAATCGGTCAAGCCGTTTCGGAGGAGTATGGCAACGAAAACTGTGACACGAGAATTTTATATATTAGATAATTGAGCATCATTCCATTCGACCCTTCAAAAATACATCGTTAGTCACATGGAATCCCAAGCAAATAAAGGACGTCAATATATATGAAGCAACTCTACTGAATTCTTAGTTATGAAATGAATTAAAATACTTACACGAAAATATATCGCCCCTGCGACGAAACATGATTAGTACATCCGTGAAATACGTCCACGTAAATCACTGAAACAATAATAATAATATTGTGATTAGATTAGTGACTGGATTACTAGTGGTAGGACCTCTTATTTACTGGTGGTAGGACCTCTTGTTTATTGCTGGTAGGACCTCTTGTTACTGGTGGTAGGAACCTCTTGTTACTGGTGGTAGGACCTCTTTTTTACTGGTGGTAGGACCTCTTGTTTACAGGTGGTAGGACCTCTTGCGAGTCCCCGTGGGTAGGTACCACCACCCTGCCTATTCCTGCCGTGAAGCAGTAATGCGTTTGGGTTGGAAGGGTACGGCAGCCGTTGTAACGTCTGAGATCTTAGAACTTATATCTCAAGGTAGGTGGCGCATTTACGTTGTAGATGTCTATGGGCTCCAGTAACCACTTAACACCAGGTGGGCTGTGAGCTCGTCCAAGCATTTAAGCAATAAATAAATAAAAGATTATTTTCATTTGACTAATATATTACGATTTCGAAATCAGACTGAATGTTTGAATACGTCTCATTTAATTTCCCTATTAGTATTGTTGTAAGTAGTACAAAGAAAACATTTATTATTGCTAATATCTTTTAAGTCTCTAAAGACAGGGGCGACCAAAAACGAGATGGAGTGATGATATACGCCTAACCCTAGGACCATACTGGACCAGAGTTGCAGAGGATCGAGCCCAATGGAGAGAGCTGGAGGAGGCCTATGCCTAAAAAAAGTTAAATTTCATGGTTGTAGTTCGAAATTAAAGGGCTTTATTATTATTATTATTATAATATCTTTTAATAAAACTAATAATAAATAAGTACTTTGTTGTTCAGTGCCAGTTGCGATTAGGACAAACAAACCCAATTAGGATAAACATTTCTATATCTAAATTATAAAATGTCTTAAATTTCACCCCTTTTATCATATTGCTGCACACCTTAACAAGCTTTTGTTTGTAAGTTGAGTAGAGTTATTTCTAAGCGCTTATAAAGAGTTTTTAAACAAGCGTAAAAACTCTTTAACACAATGGATAGTGATGAGTGTGTCTTACGCCCATACGGGTAGGTATCACCACCCTGCCTATATCTGTCGTGTGCGCGTTTCGGTTTGAACAGTGGGGCAGCAGTCCTACTATATACCTATAAACAGAGACTTAGAACTCATGTCTCATGGTGGGTCGGTATTTACTTTGTTGATCAAATCAAATCAACACAAAAATAAAAAAAAAATTTATTCAAATTATATGAAAGTACATACTTGTTGAACGTCAAAAAGAACTACCGCCAATTCACAAAAACTAGCCTCAGTCCTGAGAAGAACTGGCAACAAACTCAGCGGGCATGTCTTTTTATTTTTTTTAATAAATTTTATTTTAAATATTAATTTTTACAATGAATATAATAATATCGTAACAATTAATGCAATATTGAAATGCCCGGAGCGAGCAACTCATTCCCACTTTGTAAAATCTTCTAGATAATCATTGACTTTATAGTAAGCTTTATTGCACAGATGTTCTATAATAGTTTTCTTAAACCTATGTCTGTGGGCCCGGTAGCAGCCAACACTAGACGGGCTTTGAGGTCGTCTATCCATCCAAGGCAATAAAAAAAAGAAAATGAAATACCTGCATCAAAGATATTCGTTACACTCTTCTACGTTGAATGCTCCAGAATCAAAATCGTCCACCTTTTATTTTTATTAAATTATATTATAACGATGTTTACCAACAGCTTTTAATTTCAAACTGACCCGCTTGTAATGCTGACGCTGTGTGTAACGAGACACGATTGTTTTTGCCAAATAAACGATTATGCTTAGGGTTCCGTAAGAAATAACAGCTAAGCACTATATAAAAACAAAACCTTCAAATTCGAATCTGATTTTACGTTTACTGTAAAAATTGTTGGCACACTGTGGGAATTTGAAAACCAATTGATATCTGGAAAAAAAATTGCGAATACTCGGCAGTGGATCAAGGCGGGTCCAGGTTTAATTTCGAATGTATTTAATTTAATTCGTAAATCCAAAGATTTGATTTCACACATCGCTGTAAAACCAAAACTTTTTTCCCCTATCTATGCTGATAGCCTTGAGAGGCTATTTCAGCTTCGCCTTGACGTTTAGATGAGTTCACGGGGCTCAAACCGGGAGTATTGCTAACACTGGCCCTAGCAAGAGCAGTGCTTCGCAGAATCTACCACCGGATCGGAAACGCGACCCACAAAGAAGATCCAGCGAGAAACTCAGTGAGCTAATTCAACATTGTTATTTCTCATAATAAGAAGAACATTCTTTTTTGTACCTGCGTAAAAACATTGAAGAATTTCCCAGTGTCTACGATTTGCATAATGTGAACACTAGGAACAAACATAGGCTTGCATTGCCGGCGGCTGGAATTAAGAAAATAAGCAACTCTTTTAGGGGGCTGGGTGTACAACTTTTCAACAAGATCCTACAAAACGTTCAACTACTACCTGTTCATAGATTTAAGAAAACTGTCAAAGAACATTTGTGCAACAAGGCACATTATAAAGTTAAGAATTATTTACTAGATGGCATTACGTGGGAATGAGGCGTTCGCTCCTGGCCTTTTCATTTTCATTTCCATTTTTAATAATAATTATTTTTTAATTGTATCTTTTTTAGACTTGTTTCTTCATTTACTGATACGTTTATACTGACGTGATAGATGCTGCTGCGTTACACCTTTCAAGGTACCAGCTGACAAACTTTCCACTGAGATACAGCAAGCTGACATTAATTTTCATTCATAGTAGAATATAAACGATCACCAGGTAAATTTTTAGTTGACAGGAAATCATTGAAAATATAATTTTTTTTTCATGTTCATGCAGTCAGCTGACGTATAATCCACCATGCTATGGCCAGGCGACTTTGTTTTTCCTTCAAAATACTAGGTTGACTATAATCTGACAAAATTTCAAATGGGAGGAAATGACTGAAAAAACTTTTTTTTTCTCCATGCGTGGGAGGCTGCTACCGCCCGCCCCACCCACGGAGTCGCAGCTAACGGTCACGAGTATTCATAGTATATTTCCCTAATGCATTTTACGAAGTTTCGCTCGAGAGGAAATAATTGACCGAAATTGTACTTGGCTCCTGGACCAATAGAACAATGATCATAATATCTTATATTATGCGGAACCAATTAATGGTCAAAAAGATATACATGTGCTTGAAACTTTATCTGTAACGCTGACAGGAAGCGTAGTATCAGCCATCAAACAGACTAGGTATATTCTGTGAATGTTTAATTTTATGTGCAATTTTTTTCTTCAAAATACAATAACATTGTTCCATTGTCATCGATAACCTACATGGTCTCTGGCCATTGTCCTTTATTAATTTATTTGTGATAATAAGTCCCAATAAAAGAATTACTATGAACAAGAAAACATTTCATAATGTACTATTAAATAATATGACGTAACAATTTAGGGGTTAATGAACCTCGTTCATGCTGACGTTATTTCAATCGACGCAGACACTTGCACAGACGCTTGCACTTATAAAGTTCTTTTGGGATGGGAGATTAGCTGTTAGCTCGAATGCCTTTCCAGCTTCATTAGGAGGGGTTGGCGAGCACAGGCTCGGCCAGGAGGGTTGGGGTTTGCTAACAGCGGCCCGTGTGCCTCCGAAGGAGACCTTACACCTCAAGGGCAGCTAATTTGCGAATCTACTACTGGATCAGAATCGTGAGCTGCTGAGAATCTCTTCGGCAAATACCGTGACCTGCCTGATCCCAGCGCTATAACTAAATGCGTACAACAATAATGTGAATGGATCATGTCGGTACATTAGGACTTGTCTAGGGCACTGGCGGTGACTGGCTTCTCAGTAGGTCGGATAAGGAGTAGATAGCGTCAGCCACAATAGGGGAGTTATCGCATCGTACAACTGCCTCGAAGTCCCGTTCTGACGCTGACTATAGTTTTTTGTCCTGATAGATTCGAGACTCAGATCGTCGAAAAGCTTGCCGTTTCTCACGGCATTCCATCTTGTATGTTGCGTAAACTGGGACTGAAACGATTGAAGGGAAGACCACGTACGTGCTGGCAGTATGAGCAAAGTCCATATTCGCATAGGTCATAACACAGCGGATTCATATTTATAAATATGTGTAGTTATACTTTCACTTCAGGAAGGGCGGCAAAAAAAACAATTTAGGTATAGCCAAGTAGCCGCCTGCGCCAAAAGACTCTTTGCAAGCCTCGTTTGAAGAAGGCGATGTCAGCTTGGCAATAAGGCGAGAGAGTCCATTCGGAAACTTAATGAACGCGGGTAATATCATCTTCAATAATAGGACAAATTATGTGCCCTCAAACAGATGACCGCAACAATTATGTATCTATTTACCAAAATGAAATGCATTTATTACACTTTTTTTTTATTGCTTAGATGTATGGACGAGCTCACAGCCCACCTGATGTTAAGCGGTTACTGGAGCCCATAGACATTTACAACGTAAATGCGCCACCCTTCTTAAGGTATGTTTTCTAAGGTCTTAAGTATAATTACAACGGTTGCCTACCCTTCAAACCAAAACGCATTACTGTTTTACGGCAGAAATAGGCAAGGTGGTGGTATCTACCCGTGCGGACTGACAATAGGTCCTACCACCAGTAATTACGCAAATTATAATTTTGCTGGTTTGATTTTTATTACACGATGTTATTCCTTCACCGTGGAGGTCAATCGTGAACATTTTGTTAAGTACGTATTTCATTAGAAAAATTGGTACCCGTCTGCGGGATTCGAACACTGGTACATCACGAGATACGAATGCACCGGACGTCTTATCCTTTAGGCCACCACGACTTCAAGTAAGAACACCAAAAGCCATTAACATGTACATACAAGGAATGCTTATTATAAACATAGACAGCGACTTGGTTTTTCTTGGAAACAACTGATGCGTCCCTGGCATTACTGAAGTCCTCGAGTGACAGTTGACCTGAGTAATCCCATGGAGTTGATCACCATATGGAATCCATCAGGTGGACCGTATATTCATCTACCTACAAAGGCCATGAGAAACAACATAAATAATATATTGTGAATATTTTTATTTCCATAACATTTAATACTGTGTACATAAAGAGCCATAAAATGACATATTTTATAAAAAAAACAACACAGCTTAATTATCATATTATTTCTGTTAATTGTATCGAACGATAATTCTATGATATATTGTACGCTTACGACTATAAGGCCAGAAGTGAGACCCATAAAGTAAGTAACATTAAAAAAAACGCATTAAACTGAGATTACACAATAAAAACTAGATACTGTAAAATTAAACTGGACTTATTAGAAATGAGTCTTACAGCTTCGCCCTTTCTGTTTCCTCCACAAGAGAACGCATGACGTATCTGCGCAGATAATACGTCTGCTCCTTAACAGCCTCCAGGATCTTCTGGTTCGACACAAGTAGACGGTCATCGCTCATCATCGGACTGCTGTAGATTTGACTTAGGACCTCAGTTTTTTCGATACATGGAATGCCTTCTATAGAGTGGCTTGAAATTGTTGGCGTCAACACGACAGGATGCATCTTCAGGAAGCCGTTATTAAAATTCTGCAACACACCGCTAAGCCACTCACAAGACAATCTATTTCCTTCGATATTCACTCGCAGGTCAGGTTTGTGGCCAAACCAACTCTTATAGTCCAAATTATGCATCCAGTTGTTCCTGAGAGAAAGAACAACCAAACTTTTAAGGTCCATCAGCCATTCAGAATTGAAGTACCCAAATTTGTTGTAAGACAAATCAAGGTTGAGAAGCGCTGATAATCCATGAAATGCTCCATGCTCAATCTTGGTCAGTTGATTGTGTGACAGACGTAGAGTCTTCAGATGACCGGCACGATAAAAAGATGATGGTCCAATTCTAATGATCATGTTAAAGCTGATATCTAAATAATTGAGACTGACGGGAATACGTAAAGATGTGTCATTAAGCTCGCGTATCTTGTTATGACTGAGATCCAAATTTTTCAGATCGTTCTGATGAATCAATTCGATTAGCTTAGCATCTGATATATTATTGGAGTGTAATCTCAAAATCATCAAACGGGCTCCTTCACCATATGGTATCCTCAATTGCGTCAAGCCGTTGTTTGACAAGTCCAGAACACCTCCAGCGGGATGGAATCTGGTTATACGTAAATTCTCAACGCTGTCTATATCATTAAACGTCATGTTCAGAATTCTAAGGCTAAAGTAATTCTTAAAAGCTGTTTCTGGTATTTCGTAAAGTTTGTTGTGAGAGAGATCCAAATTCTCAAGGTTTCCCATTGCCGAGAAGCTCTTGTAATATAATTGGAAAATATGGTTTCCGCTTAGGTTCAGTTTCTTTACGAATTGGAGATCGTCAGCGTTTACACTAAAGTCGGTAATTTGGTTCCGGGATAGATCCAATGAGATCATTTTCAAAAGAGAATGGAACGCATTGTAAGCTATTTCTGTTATTTCATTGTTCGACAAATCTAATTCGGTCAGCACATCCACGCTGTAACGCCTCAAGTCACGGACGTTTCTAGCAGATATTTCCATTGATGCATTCGGTAATGATGCTATGCGGTTTTCGGACAGTATGATTTTACAAATGGAATGGCCCCCCATGTGTTTCCAGTGCCTCGAGAACATGACTGAGTTGATTTTTTCGAGTTGATTCCTGGACACGTCGAACGTTTCCAGGTGTATTATGATTTTAAGTGATTCTACGTCGATGTGCTGTATTTGGTTTCCCCTTAAATATAGGTGCTTCAGATTTTGAAGGTTATTAACTGCACCGTTTAGGTTTTTGATGGAATTATTGTTCAGTCTTAGTGTTTCGAGACTGGATAGATTGGCGAATGGCTCTTCCTTCAGATTTGAAATGCGATTGTATGAGAGATCGAGTTCGACCAGAGATGACAGTTCGTCAAAAGCGTCTTGGGGCAGTTCTTCTATATTGTTGTTGGCGAGTACTAATTTGTTGAGTTTGTATGGTCGCGTTTCAAAACGAAATAGTTCTTCCAGATCGCTAATCCTGTTATGAGATAAATCAATGGTTTCTAATTTGCCGAGGTAGTAAAAAGGTGAGCCAGCGATTCTCTCAATTTGATTATTTGTCAAATTTAAATCCTGTAGCCTATATGTATATTGCAATAATGTCAAATTCGTTTTCGGCATTTGCCCTGTAATTTTTAAAGAAGTAATGAAACCCAAGAGTCTAGTTTCTGGGTCTTCTGGATAGTAATCTTCGGCGACATTTTTAAGCGTTACGGTAACTGTGACGGGGAAGTTGGCTGCCTCTAGACACTCATTGGGGAGGCGTATTCCTCTGACGTTGCTAGTACACTCGATTTTGAAGGCGCACTGTCCTAAGCTGTGGATGTTCTCACGAGGGCAGTTGCAGGCTACCAATACCAGGCTGGTCAGGAACACCAACAACTGATAACCTGGAAATTGCCATTGTTTTACTATTAAAGATCATGTAATAAAAATCAAACCCGCAAAATTATAGTTTGCGTAATTACTAGTGGAAAGACGTCTTGTGAGTCCGCACGGGTAGGTACCACCACTCTGCCTATTTCTGCCGTGAAGCAGTAATGCGTTTCGTTTTGAAGGGTGGGGCAGCCGTAGTACTGTTTAAAGTAAGACCTTACAGCTCATGTCTCAAAGGTGGGTGGCGGCATTTACGTTGTAGATGTCTAGAGCTCCGGTAACCACTTAACACCTGGTGGACCGTGAGCTCGCCCACGCATCTTAGGAATAGAGAAATAAAAAAAAAATGTTTAATAAGCCTATGTCCGAAAAAATTTATACAATTTTGAGAGACATTACGGGATTGTAGTATAAGAAAAAAAGCTCTCTTCAATGATGACTTGAGAATACTTGGTATTTAGAAGTTGGTGGCAATATTTAGAATGTATCGTGTCTTTCCAATTTTTGTAATGAAATATGTTCTTAACGCATGTTCACGAAAGCTGTCCATGATAAAGGAATCCGTCGCGTAATAAAAATCAAACCCGTAAAAATTTTAATTCGTGTAATTACGGACGGTAAGGTCTTGTAAGTCGGCACTCACCTCCATACATATTTTTACTAGGAAGCAAAATGCGTTTGCTTCAAGGGCCTTTGTTTATTTCGGACCCAAGTCACACCTCCCAAGAGGTTTCCGAACCTGCCTGACAGCCAATGCAATAACTTAAAGGGCCCGACAGCCAATGCAATTAATTAATTAATTTTTTGGTCTTTAATATTTTGAAATTTGCAACTAATTTCCCGGCCTTCGACCTAAGGTAGAACTATAATTTGACCAGTATACACATTAACTACACTAATAGTAGTTACAATGTCTGTTGAAAAGATTTTTTTTTTTTTTTTATGATTGATGTATTACTGGTGGCCCGGAAGCCTTTCCAGTTTCACCAGGACAGGTGGGCGAGCAAAGGCTCAGCCAGGAGGGGTGGGATTTGCTAACAGCTACCCGAGCGCCTGCGAAGGAGACCTAACAGCTCAAGAGCAGCTGCTTCGCGACTGAATCTACTACCGGATCGGAATCGCGACCCGCTGAGAAGATCCGGCGAGAAACTCAGCGAGCTGATTCATGGGTTAGGTTGCACGGCGAACTCTTTGTCGACTCTTTTTTATATGTCGTCGTGGCCTAAAGGATAAGACGTCGTGCATTTGTATGAAGCGATGCACCGGTGTTCGAATCCCGCAGGCGGGTACCAATTTTTCTAATGAAATACGTACTCAACAAATGTTCACGATTGACTTCCACGGTGAAGGAATAACATCGTGTAATAAAAATCAAACCCGCAAAATTAAAAATTATAATTTGCGTAATCACTGGTGGTAGGACCTCTTGGGAGTCCGCACGGGTAGGTACCACCACCCCGCCTATTTCCGCCGTGAAGCAGTAATGCGTTTCGGTTCGAAGGGTGGGGTAGCCGTCGTAACTATACTGAGACCTTAGAACTTATATCTCGAGGTGGGTGGCGCATTTACGTTGTAGATGTCTATGGGNTTGCGTAATCACTGGTGGTAGGACCTCTTGGGAGTCCGCACGGGTAGGTACCACCACCCCGCCTATTTCCGCCGTGAAGCAGTAATGCGTTTCGGTTCGAAGGGTGGGGTAGCCGTCGTAACTATACTGAGACCTTAGAACTTATATCTCGAGGTGGGTGGCGCATTTACGTTGTAGATGTCTATGGGCTCCAGTAACCACTTAACATTAGGTGGGCTGTGAGCTCGTCCATCCATCTAAGCAATAAAAAAAAAATAAAAAAAAAGAGTTCGACGAGTACGGTTACCGGGGTCCCTAAGCCTGCTCCTAGTGTTAGAGCTGAAGGCGTCTAATGCAAAGGTTATTGGATCTGATGGATCCGTAAGGACGTGTGAAAAGAATTACTTTTGAATTTAATTATAAATAGATGTTGTTTGTTACCTTTCGCCATCTTAGCACCGTGCGCTCGGAACGAAACCCTGTAAACACAACCAAGGTTTGTAAGAGAGAGAAAGAGAGATAGAGAGTGAGAGTTTTCTTCCCGGTTTGATTTAATTTTACGAAGTCATTCTTTCATCGCGAGAGGCTTTCGGGTCCAAATGAGAGTTCGTATTTACTATTTACTTAGAAAGATCTTCGATATGAATCTGGATTAGAGCTTTTTATTTATAGAGTTTTTATTTGGCTTTAATAGCATCTTAACTGTTTATGAGTGGTCATTGTTGCTTATAGTCATGCTATAGCCCGTGGAAAGCACTTTGAAAGCGTATTCCAGTGCCAGATAAGCACAGAGTTCTAATATAGACTCTAGTTCACTCTGCTGGTGGTGTGATTATTTTCTTTTTTATATTGCCTATGTAGGCAGACGAGCATACGGCTCACCTGATGATAAGTGGTCCCCGTTGCTCATGGACGTCAGCAATACCAGGAGAATAGCCAAACCGCTGCCTACCATTAAGTAAACTCCGAAAGCCTCGTTTGAAGAAGGACATGTCATAGCGCTCGGAAAACACCGTGGAGGGGAGTTCATTCCAAAATAATTGCGAGATTAAAATTGAGATGAAAGGATAATCTCAAACAATACTTATTTACTACTGACGTGACGCATTAATACAACACTGACAGTTAACTCCGGTGGGTTTGGGTCTGCGGAGGGACTTCGGTTCCCTCTGTATTTTGTACCGTATGTTCCATGGGGAGTGCTCTGAGGAATTGTTCGAGATGATACCGGCATCTCGTTTTTACCATCGCACCGCCCGCCACCGGAGTAGAGTTCATCCATACTACCTGGAGCCACTGCGGTCATCGACAGTGCGTTTCCAGAGGTATTTTTTGCTACGTACCATCCGGCTATGGAATGAGCTCCCCTCCACGGTGTTTCCCGAGCGCTATGACATGTCCTTCTTTAAAAGAGGCTTGTGGAGAGTATTAAGCGGTAGGCAGCGGCTTGGCTCTGCCCCTGGCATTGCTGAAGTCCATGGGTGACGGTAACCACTCACCATCAGGTGGGCCGTATGCTCGTCTGCCTACAAGGGCAATAAAAAAAAAAAAAAAACTCCGGTGTTACGAGTCCGAACGGCTAGGACCAACCATTCAACCTATATCTGCCACCTAGCAGTCATACGTTCCATTTCCAATCGTGGAGCAGCCATTACTCAAGGCAGTTGAGGTTTCGATCTTATGTGTCAATGTGGGTGGTGGAATTCAAGTTCTAATGTCGGTAGGCTATGTTTTCCACAATACCGTGAGCATACATCAGATGTACACTTTAATATTATGTTCCTAGTTTCGCTTACAGTTTGTTGAACGTATGAGTGCCATTGTAGTTAGTAATAATCATAATAATCTATACTAATATTATACTAATATTATAAAGAGGAAATATTTGTTTGTTTGTTTGTTTCGAATAGGCTCCGAAACTACTGGACCGATTTGAAAAATTCTTTTTCCATTAGAAGCCGACATTGTCACTGATGAACATAGGCTACTTTTTAAAAAAAAAATGTTTATTTTATTTTTTTGGTTTCATGTGTGTTTTAATGTTTCCGAAGCGAAGCGAGGGCGGGTCGCTAGTATTTTAATAAAGCAGTCTTGCTGAACAATGCCCGTATAGTTCGCCGGTCTCTCTCCCAATAGTCCCTAACGCTCCGGCCGATTGTTGCCCACCTCGCCGGAGTGTGTCCTGCCGTCTTCTCAGGCGAGGCAGTGTTTAATACACAAAATAATAATAATAATAGTAACAAAATTCCTGCAGCTTGAAGAAAACCAAACTTACTACAAGTAATAAAAACTAGCATATTAACTCATAGCTACTGTATATTACTTGGCCAAAACCCCGTATATACCGGCTCTGTCGACAGACTGAACTGAGACTGATGAGTAAATATTTTTATTTATTTAAAAAAAAAAGAAAATATTTGAGAAAAAACAAAAAAGAAAAAGCCCGCTGAGTTTGTTTCGCCGGTTCTTCTCAGGACCGGGGGTTTTTATTGGAACCGGTGGTAGAGTTAGCATTGTTATTTATATTTTGACATTCAACAAGTGTGTCATACTGACATCTAAGTTGAAATAAATGATTTTGAATTTGAACTGGGGAATCCTATGAACATAATAATAATAATAACTCACCTGTATGAGGGGCACAACATATTCGTCGTAATTACAAAGTCCGAATGTGAGCACGGAGCTTACTTACATAATTAAATCGGCANAATAATAATAACTCACCTGTATGAGGGGCACAACATATTCGTCGTAATTACAAAGTCCGAATGTGAGCACGGAGCTTACTTACATAATTAAATCGGCATTTCGTTTATTCGGCGAAATTGGACCCGCAGAGATATTGACTGCCATAGAATCGAGACACCTAGAATGATTCAGGATTGTGTGCGATCTTTCCGCGTAGAAGCAAAACTTGTTTTTTTTTAAATACTGGACGCTAAAAGACCCCAGGCTTTCTGAGGAATTGTATGAAGTGAAATCGCTAAGGTAGAGCGGGCTTGTTTCAGGCAGACGCGGATAAATTCTGAAGGGCAACCACCAGTAGTGCTCATCATTCTCCTGCCCTTCTCTCAGTCACCTGGGGTCGGCGCAACATGTTTTCTTCTTCCATGCTCCTCTATTATATACCATTTCTTCGCTCACTCCCCTCTTACACATATCGTCTTTCACGCAATCCATCCATTCCTTCTTAGGTCTACCTCTTCCAGTAGTGCTATTTTTTTTATTTTTTATTGCTTAGATGGGTGGATGAACTCACAGCCAACTTGGTGTTAAGTGGTTACTGGACCCCATAGACATCTAAGGCCCATACACAATGTAAATGTGCCACCCACTTTGAGATATAAGTTCTAAGGTATCAAGTGTAGTTACAACGGCTGCCCTACCCTTCAAACCGAAACGCATTACTGCTTCGCCGCGGAAATTAGCAGAGTAGTAATGTCTACTTACAGAGATCTCTTGCTCGCGACCAGCATCCGACTCCCCTGCGCGGTTCTTCTGGTATTTCTTCAGGTATTTTTGGACTTCATCGATTTCTAGAATGTAAGCGATCACAAAAAATGACTGCCTAACGACAGTGAGGTAATTTGTATTACAATGACTGTAAGTTCTTCTGTAAGTCTTCAATGTCAAATAACCTCTGAATCTCAAATATCCTTGGTGGTAGGACCTCTTGTGAGTCCGCGCAGATAGGTACCACTACCCTGCCTATTTCTGCCGTGAAGCAGTAATGCGTTTCGGTTTGAAGGGTGGGGCAGCCGTTGTAACTATACTGAGACCCTTAGAACTTATATCTCAAGGTGGGTGGCGGGCGCATTTACGTTGTAGATGTCTATGGGCTCCAGTAACCACTTAACACCAGGTGAGCTGTGAGCTCGTCCACCCATCTAAGCAATAAAAATAAAAAAATAAAAATACATATTCCTATTTCGGAGAAGATCAGAGAGTCACAAATAGCATTGGAGGAGATTACAGTCAGGTAATGCATACTGTTATTAATATCATCGCGTTGAAGTAGTCACGTTCGTCCCTACAACGAGTAATACATAGCCATTGCATTACAAGTTGAGGGAGTTCATCTAAAGTCCCTACTTTATTTCGCCGTAAAGTCGTGTTTTATGTAATTAACACCACAGTTGGAACAATATAAATTTTATTGTTGTAGCGGCATAAACAATTCTAAGTAATTACATTATATTAGTTATTTAACACATTATAATTTATTTTTACGTTTTAAATATTTGGCGGTAAAAAGGTCCCGTGTCACAGACTATATTCTTTTTCCCGCCTCTCGTGCGTTCCGGCTTACGCATCATAAAAAGGTGCGTTCTTAAACGCCACAAAGTCAAATGTTTTTCTTACGTACCAACCAGTTCAGGATGTAACACCCATTGTGAATCCTAAGCGCTACAGTAAGTCGTTCTTTANAATTATTTTTACGTTTTAAATATTTGGCGGTAAAAAGGTCCCGTGTCACAGACTATATTCTTTTTCCCGCCTCTCGTGCGTTCCGGCTTACGCATCATAAAAAGGTGCGTTCTTAAACGCCACAAAGTCAAATGTTTTTCTTACGTACCAACCAGTTCAGGATGTAACACCCATTGTGAATCCTAAGCGCTACAGTAAGTCGTTCTTTAAATTAAATTTCAAAAGACACCTCACTCAAACACAAACATATCATGTTTTATAGTTTGCAATAACGAAATGGCTAATGTTGCAATTTCATCTAAAAATAAACATTGATTTAGATGTTTTGCAAAATTACGGTACAAAGGTCGATTTATTGTTTTCGTTAATATTATAATTCATGTAGTTTATTTAGACCGCGTGGTCGCCTGCACTAATATAAGAAACTGCCAACTGAAAAGATGCAGTTATAATCCTTTTTTTTTGCATGGATGTGTGAGCTCACAGCCCACCTGGTGTTAAATGGTTACCGGAGCCCATAGATATCTACAACGTAAATGCCACCACCCACCTTGAGATATGAATTCAAATTCAAATTCAAAATCATTTATCTCAACTTAGATGTCAGTATGACACACTTGTTGAATGTCAAAATATAAATAACAATGTTAACTCTACCACCGGTTCCAAAAAAAGCCACAGTCCTGATAGTTGAGAATGAATTTTAAGGTCTCAGTATAGTTAAAACGGCTGCCCCACCCTTCAAACTGAAACGCATTACTGCTTCGACCCGCGCGGACTCACAAGAGGTCCTACGCGAATTATAATTTTGCGGGTTTGATTTTTATTACACAATTTTATTAAATTATATCATTTAGGACAGAAGGCTGATATAATTATGTGGCTATACGAGTATTAATATGTGTGTACATAAAACAATATTCTATAGATAATGATCTCCCCATTAAAATTTTTACATGTTTTTATATAAATTTTTTTCAATCGTACTTGCCTGGCAGGACTGCGTCATTGAATTTCGTGAGTTAAAAGGAATTTTGTGTCATACTCTAGACTCTGCTAATGAACGTCGCATAGCTCGCGAAAGCGTTGGAGGAGTTTAGACATAATCATGGTTAAAGGTACAAAAAATTTATTTGATTTTAAATAATCTTAAGAATTCTATAAATAAATTCGAACTCCATTTTTTATCTTACAAAATTCTTTGATAATCACTTAAAACTCATAAATTGATAGTAACTTATTAGTATTGATATCTAAAAGTACTATTTTTTTTCAAATAGAACGCCATTTTGACTTTTCATACATTCAATTAATTATAAACAGCTCACGAACAAATTTCGAAACCTTCTTACTTACTAATTAGCCTTTTTATACTATCATATAACGCAGACAACAGCAATATGCATTACGAGGGGATTCCCGTAAATTTTATGTTAATTATAATATTCAGGCAACATTATCTGGCGCTAAACGGATGCCGTTGGCGGGAATTCCCCGGAGCAGAGACTTCATTTTGTTTTTCATGTTTCTGTTCTTCTTTCAATGTTATAAAGTGAAACTCACCTTAATATGACTATAACCTTTAGCCCTTTAAAGTCGAAGTTACATTAAAATTAAAACAATTACCGTTTTTCGATAGCAAAAAAACAAAATGGCGACTCCAATAATTGGATACTCGTTTAGCCCCCTTCAGTATCAAATGTTGTATATTACATTCAATATTAATACAATTTATAAATTTGCTATCAGCGGAAACCACAACTTTAATTACAATGTAACGTGTTTGTCATAACGCTTGAAAATTATTGGGTGGTCAGAGACTACGAAAACAAAAGCATCAATTTTTCTTATTACCCACGTAATTCGACAATTTAAGTTACGTGTCTGTCCCGGCATTGAAGAGGCCAAAAAAACAAACAAACAAGACGCTAAGACAGATTTATTTGTATTTATTCTATTGGTTATGGTCATATTACTGAGTCATCGTCTCGCTGTTTCATTACAGCCGCTACCGTCAACACAATGCTGCTTTAACTTGAAATACCAGGGTCATATTACCTTCGAAGGCATGCAAGCATACAGCCTCACTGCTGGTTTTTTTTTATGATTGAAGGATTACTGGTGGCCCGGAGGCCTTTCCAGTTTCACCAGGACAGGTGGGCGAGCAAAGGCTCAGCCAGGAGGGGTGGGATTTGCTAACAGCTACCCGAGCGCTTCCGAAGGAGACCTAACAGCTCAAGAGCAGCTGCTTCGCGAATGAATCTACTACCGGATCGGAATCGCGACCCGCTGAGAAGATCTGGCGAGAAACTCAGCGAGCTGAGGCATGGGTTAGGTTGCACGGCGAACTCTTTGTCGAGTTCGACGAGTATGGTTACCAGGGTAAACCTCACTACTGGTGAGTAGCCGTCGCTTATGTACTTACCACCACAATATATTAAGGGCGCAAACATGTCACTGATTGCCGCTGAAGAATCTCTTCAAACCTCAGGAAAATCCTAGTTGTGACGTCACTCACGCTGTTATGCCCAAAGACTGCGCGATCCTTTAAAACTACTAGTAAGAGTACAATGAACTCTCTTTCACATTTGTATTGACAAAAATAAATAAACTGCGCGCGGTATTGAAACTGGTAAAAATAAAACCCTTTGCACATCCGTAGTGAAATTTTATTAAAAAAAACCTGTAACACGTTCATATTAAAAATTTAGTAAAAAATTGGTAGTTATTGTTTATTTTACGGCTAACAACATATTTATCTAGTGCCTATGTATTTATAAAAGTCAATATGTGTTTTTTTTATTGTTTAGATGGGTGGACGAGCTCACAGCCTACCTGGTGTTAAGTGGTTACTGGAGTCCATAGACATTAACAACGTAAATGCGCCACCCACCTTGAGATATATTATAAGTTCTAAGGTCTCAGTATAGTTACAAAGGCTGCACCACCCTTCAAGCCGAAACGCATTACTGCTTCACGGCAGAAATAGGTAGGGCGGTGGTACCCACCCGCGCGGACTCACTAGAGGTCCTACCACCAGTGTATGTGTGTGTCTTCCCTATAAACTACATTGCAAACGGCTGCACCCACTTAGATAACATTTTCAGAAAATCTTCACAATATAGCCTAGCAGGTGATCCTGTTTTTTGGATGTTTGAGAGGAATGTCAAAATGAGCCATAATTAGAAATTATTTATTCAATTGAAAATCTTTCAAATCGATTTTCATGTCAGCGTAATCAACAGGGAACATGGCTGAACATTCTTCCTCGCCTGCCACCGGATCGCGACTCACATGTACTGGATTCAAGTCCATTAGCTCCAGCAGAGGAACATCATTCTCGATAGACAACATAATCGCTATCTTTACATTTTCCCTGAAACAAAAACGTGTGGCACTCGGGAACTGCCGCGGTAAAGCTATTGCATAGCATTTTTTATCAACTTATGCAATTATAATTAGACAATGATAGTTTAATATTAAAACAATAATAAAACAAGACCACGCTATATTAAACATTAATAAAAGCATCACCTTAACTGTCCCCTTCACACTCATAAGCTAGACCGCGCGAGAGAGAGATGGACAGACTTTTCATGATGCGCATGCAGTGTGACGTCACGCCACGCGCTTATTCACAAACACTACACAAGCGCAACGTCTGAATGTGTTGAACGCGAGCTACATGGTAGGCGGAGTGAGGGGTGTAAGGTTTTTTTCGTTACGGAATTTCACGATTCGGTCGCCGCGCTTAAGGCCCGCGATAAAAGCTATGCAATAGCTTAAAAATATATCACTACATAGTATACAACAAAGTCGCTTTCTCTGTCCCTATATCCCTATGTATGCTTAAATCTTTAAAACTACGCAACGGATTTTGATGCGGTTTTTTTAATAGATAGAGTGATTGAAGAGGAAGGTTTATATGTATAATAACATCTATTAAATAGTGGAGAAATCAATAATAAATTACAGTTTCCAAAGCGAATCGAGGGCGAGTCGCTAGTATTTAATACGATAATGTAAGTGGTATATATTTTCTAGGTGGACGAGCTCACGGCCCAGCTGTTGTTATGTGTTCATCAGAGCGCAACATCAATAACGCAAATGCCGCCACCCACCTTGGGACATAAGTTCTAAGGTTTTAACAGTACAACGGCTGCCCCACCCTTCAAACCGAAACGCATTATGCTTCATGGCAGAAATAGATGGGATGGTGTGGACTCACAGGACGTGCTACCAGTAAAATCGTTCGTTCAATGAGAATCTTTGTTAACACCGCGCTCTCGTCCGAATCTTTTGTCAAAGTATTGAGTGACATTATTATTATCGGCTGCCCCACCCTTCAAACCGAAACGCATTACTACTTCACGGCAGAAATAGGCGGGATGGTGGTACCTACCCGTGCGGACTCACCAGAGGTCCTACCACCCGTAATAGATAGAGAGTAATAGGTCTAGAACTGTTGGAAACAAAGCCAATTAAGCGACTTTCTACATTCCCGTCTTTATTTAAGCTTTGCGAGTAATATAGAGCGGGCTTTAAGGCACGTCAACATAGTTTGTTAGTGTGTAACGGATATTGTTTACTAACGTCTTCTGAGAAGTATTATCGGCGTCGAATTCCATTACGCTGTATGCAATATGAACTCCGTCGTATGGCGTGGTAGCTTCAAATATGCCGACCTGTACAATTGCGAATAGCTTAGATCAGAAGCGATTTGAATTATTAATATGTATGTGATTTTTGAAATTATCAAACAAAATACGTCAATATTGGTTCGGTACAAAGTCCACGCGAGTCAAAGTGAAAGAGAGGGCAACATGGATATGAAAAAAAAACAGCTATATGAGGTCGTCAGCGCAAAAGTGGCCGAACCAACAATTTTACATAAATGTATATTAAAATTTATTTCAAAATAATAAATTTTGATGCAAAACCGCCCGCCCTATCATACTAGTTTCACACATAGATAACAGATGGCTTTGTAAACAATATTTTTCTCCTACCTACGCCGAAGGTTCGGTTTTCCTCCCGCTGTACAGGGAAGAAAGTCTAACTTTTCCTCCCGCTGTACAGGGAAGAAAGTCTAACTTTTTCTCCCGCTGTACAGGGAAGAAAGTGTACCTTTTCCTCCCTGGGTACAAGTGCGCATGCGCGTTAGTGTCTACGTCTGCTCTCACGCACCTAAAATTCTCCGCCATTGTTGTGCTCGAGTAATTTGCAATATTGTGTTTAGTGTAAAAGTTAAATAAACAAAAAGCAATAAAATTTAATAGTGAAGTATTAAACAAAGATGAGTTCATCAGACAGTTCTTATTCAATTAGTAGTATTTTATTTAAAAATAAAAAAACAGTTAAATATGTTTTTTTATGAATAAGGGGAGCACCGCCCCCCCGCCCTACCCCCTGCCAGGGCTTCGCCCCTGGTCCCCGGCTCCGTACTCCACGAACTTTCGGCCTGGTAGAAGAAAAAAGTAGGACATCTCATCCCCTTGGTACACAATGTAATATTTTGCGCGTATTGTTTTTTTGCCTACTCAAATTCAAATTCATGAAAACTTAAACCTCATTGCTACAAAATAACTATGGTAAGCTTAGGCCATTTTTGCGCTGAGGGCCTCAGCCGACTACTCCCTCACAGAGTCAACCACCAATTCAACGACTCTACCTTAGCATTTTCTTATATCCGTATTATAGGTTAGATGGTCGATCGAACGTAAAAATAGGTCGGTGTTTTATTACTCGTCTTTTTACCTACCTATTCTAGTAAGCTCGTGGGGTTATACTAGATTCTCAGAAGAGTAGATGAGCTCACGGGGCTCTAACCAGAAGATGTTGCTAACACTAGCCCTAGCAAGAGCAGTACTTCGCAGAATCTACCACCGGATTGAAACACCACTCACTGAGAATATCCGGCGAGAAACTCAAGATACTATGAGTTGTTTCAGGATTATCCATTCTTTCTGGGACACCCTGTATAATATATATCCGACGGTATAACGTATTTCGTACGTAAACAAAAAAAAGCTTGTTATGTAATTTACAACTCACGTGGATAACCGCGTTCTCATATTTAGACAGCACTTTCAGGGCTTTGTGACGTTTCCAAGCCTCCAGCATCACGAGTACATGCGGCGGAAGGAACTCCGGCTCCGGTGTAACATATTCCACAACTATCTGTATTATTAGGGACTATAGCTAATACAGCTATGTAGCTAGTATAGTATATGCCTAGCATAGCTCTGTAACTAGTATAGTATAAGCCTAGTATAGCTATGTAGCTAGTATAGTATATGCCTAGCATATCTCTGTAGCTAGTATAGTATATAGCTAGTATAGCTCTGTAGCTAGTATAGTATATGCCTAGTATAGCTATGCAGCTAGTATAGTATATGCCTAGTATAGCTATGCAGCTAGTATAGTATATGCCTAGTATAGCTGTAGCTAGCATAATACATGCCTAGTATCTATAGCTCTGTAGCTAGTATAGTATATAGCTAGTATAGCTCTGTAGCTAGTATAGTATATGCCTAGTATAGCTATGCAGCTAGTATAGTATATGCCTAGTATAGCTATGCAGCTAGTATAGTATATGCCTAGTATAGCTGTAGCTAGCATAATACATGCCTAGTATCTATAGTTCTGTAGCTAGTATAGTATAGGACTAGTATAGCTCTGTAGCTAGTATAGTGTAGGACTAGTATAGCTCTGTAGCTAGTATAGTATATGGCTATTATAGCTTTGTAGCTAGTATAATATATGGCTATTATAGCTCTGTAGCTAGTATAATATATGGCTAGTATAGCTACTGAGTACAGCAGTATTGGGTAAAAGTTAAATCAAGTATGGAGTTGGAACGTTTGCCTACGTTTGCCGCTAGGGGCGCTGTTCCAACTGCATACAAATGTGAGTTAACTTTTACGCTATCGAAAACGTTAAAAAACTCGCACTAAGCACGCAGGAAGAAGTCCGGGTTCGATTCACGGTCGTTTTATCGATCTTTTTCAAATATGTACATTCAGGGTTGAGGTGTAAATCTCTCATAAATGTGTACTGTACATCTTAAGTACTAAAAACGGAGGTTTAAAACTCAAGGTTTAAGGTGAGTGATGAAATTTACGTTGTTGATGTCTATGGGCGAGAGTGGTCACTTAACACCAGCTTGGCCATGAGCATAAAAAAGTCGATCTACTCTAGAACAATGCTATACACATCGGTTTTTCGATAGCAGCTATAAATAAATAAAAATGTTTTTTTTTTGTACGTGTACCGAAAACTACTTTACACGTTAATTCCAGCAATGCCAAGGGCATAGCCAAGAGGTCTACCGTCTTTCTTGTTCTGACCGGGATATTCCATCATTATATGATGCGTGTGCAAAAAAAAAACTGTATGCTATGAGACTATGAATGACCCCTTGCCTCAAAGTGGGTAACGGTATCGCGTTGTGAATTAATAGGTAGAGGAAAAAGTTTATTCTCACTTTTTAAGAAAATTCACGACACTTTTTAATATAGTTTATTTACATTTAACTAAAGTATGTAGGTACCATTTTGTTCGATAGCTTTTTGCCATCTTGTAGGTAGGGACATGATCCCATCGCTATAGAAATTTTGGGGCTTCTGATCAAAATACCGCGACAATTGGTTTTGGCAGTCCTCTCATAATGTTAACCTGACACTGCCTAAAGAATTCTGAAAAGACCGAAACAGGTGGAAATCTGAAGGTGCAAGATCAGGACTATACGGCGGATGCATTAACACCCCCCAGCCAAGCTCTCTTAATTTTTGCTGAATAGCTAAAGATGTGTGAGGTCTAACGTTATCATGATGAAAAACCCCTTCTGTTGATTAATTCCGGCCGCTTTCTCTCAACTTCTTGCTTTAATTTCATCAGTTGTTCGCAGTAGAGTTCAGAATCGATGGTCCTGCCTGGTGGTAACAGCTCAAAATGAATAATGCCCTTCCAATCCCACCACACACACAGCATCACCTTGTTGCAAGTTAACCCGGGTTTCGCCACCGTCTATGAAGCCTTTGACCGTGACCTTTTTCGCACGTTCTTGTCGTACGTAATCCACTTTTCATCGCCAGTTATCAGCTTCTTCAAAAATGGTTCGGTTTCATTACGTCGTAATAAAGAATCACAAATGAATACACGGTTCATTAGGTTTCTTTCAGTGAACTCGTGAGGTACCCAAATATGGAGTTTTTTTCAAATGCGCCAAAACTGTTTTGTGGTAAATTCCCAGCTCTTCAGCTACATCGTAACTACTGATATGCCGATCTTGCTCCACTTTTTCAAAAATGGCATCCATTTTATCCGTAATAGGGCGATCAGAGAGAGGTGATCTTTGACATTAAAATTTCCGGATTAAAAACACTTAAACAAAATTCGTGCTACTCTCACAGATACTGCACTAGGTCGATAAACATCTCAAATTTTTTTCGCGGCTTGTATTGTCTTTTTACCTTTTTTGTAGTAAGATTTTAAAATGTATCGAATTCCTTCATTATATTCACTCATCTTGACAGTACGCAAAATAAATTAAAATCACACATTTTCCTAATTTGAATTTGGAATTATCTTCTTTAAAATTTAAACTTTTAACGATACCAAAACCAGCCAGATACAAATAGTATAAAAAAGAGATTTTATTACAAGTTCATACATACCATAATGCGAAAAGATTTTTTCCCCAACCTATTATATAAGCAATAAAAAAAAAATATATGTTTTTGTTTATGTTCCTAATTTAATTCTCCTCCCTATGCTGATGGCCTTAAGAGGCTATTTCAGCTTCTCCTTGAGGTGTAGGTGAGCTCACGGGGCTCAAACCGGAGTGTTACTAACACTGGCCCTAGCAAGAGCAGTGCTTCGCAGAATCTACCACCGGATCGAAAACGCGACCCACTGAGAAGACCCGGCGAGAAACTCAGTGGGCTGTGCCTATGGGTTAATTTACTCGTCGAGCCCTTCGTTGCAAGCGACGGGTTCGGCGAGGACGGTGACCGGGTTCCTATTAATAACGCAATAAAATGTGTTTCATGAAAATCTAATTACCATATAAAATTTTATTCTACACGTAAAATTGAGGAACTAAGGCTTAATATTATTATAAATTGCTAGCACCAGAACCATTTTTTTCGTTATCTATCTAACCTTAGGGAAAAGTACGGCCAGTCCATTAGCCTTAGCTATATCGTTAGGCGGAGCATAAAACCCTGGGATAACCAAGCCCGGTGGAGGAAAATACTCTTCTTCATTACTCTCACTAGGACTGTCTGTATCACTGGACGATTCTTGTGGCTGTTGATTTAAGATAGAATTCGTATGAACAATTAGAATATTAATTTCTTTTAGTAGCTGATAAAATCAAACAGTTGAGAAGTTTCTCGAAGTCTTAAGAACAGCAATTAGCGTAGTATTAAATACCTGCTGTGGTTGCGCGAAACTTAGTTCATCATCGCTGGGTTGTTCTTTTAGATTTTGCAAGGCAGTCAGATCCTGAAGGAAAATAAAAACCCTAGAAGACGACTTTGGTTCGTCTCTTACTCATGCTGCTAATAATACCATAATGCTTGTACTTTATACAAGATTTCATAGAAGCTAATATTAAAAGTACTGAACTGAAAACTTCTGAGTTTTTTTTATTGCCTCTCGAGGCAGACGAGCACACGGTCCACCTGATGGTAAGTGGTTACCATCGCTCATGGACGTCAGCAATGTCAGGGGTAGAGCCAAGCCGCTGCCTACCATTGGTTCTTCTTCTTCGTCGCTTCCTCATTACTGAGGGTCGTGACCACCTTGGTCTAGTTTTTGTACCAGCTTTTTCCAATGTCACCTGCATTCGGCCTGCTTAATGGGGCCCGGGACACTAGTGTTTGTGGCCTCCTTGACAATGTTACAACCTACCATTGGTTAGGATGGTTTAATTCTTAAAACGACTTCTTTTTATGAGCGATAAGCTCTGACTGTACTCTGGCATTTCTGAGGTCCATGTGCAATGGTTATCACTGTCATTAGGTTGAATGCTCATCGTCTACCTTAAAAGGACATAAGAATCTCTAGCATAATTGAGTCACTTGCGCCAGCTTTCAGCAATTTTAATTTTCTCTGCTCTCTCTTTGCCCTCTTCGCTTCGATTGCTTCTTGAAGAGCTTGCAGTGCAAGGCGCTTCATTTCTGATAGTCTCCTAGATTTTTTCTCTTTTTCCTCCGCCTAAGTGTACAACGAAACAAAATTGGAAAATAATATAAAACAATTTTACCTTCAAAACATTAATTTAAATTTCATACAAGAGATGTCCGTAAGATATTTGGACATTTGATAACAAAAAATAGGTGTGATAAATCCATTGAGAGTCACACATCAGATTAATATTAAAGTATACTTCGCTATACTTTTCGCTCGAATTGTAGGTAGAGGTAGCTATTAGAGCACTCGGGATGGATGTAATATGCTCTGCGTAAGCCCTGTCCCGCCGTCTTAATAGCCCCGACTGGGTTTCCTCCCGGTCTGGGGTAGGGCGCCGGCTGTGAGCGGCAGGAGTTTTTAGTGAGGCTCAACTCCCACATACGAGATCCCGCGATTTTCTATTGTGGGAAAAAAAACACCTAGTAGAGCACTAGTAGAGTAGTAGGTATACCTTTCTTGTGACCTTCTCCTCGTGCCGCTTCAGAAGAATTTTCTCTTTAGTCTGGCTGTAACTCTTGTAGTGATCAAAAGCAGTTCCGAATGATTTAGCTGAAGAATCATCGTCATACTGTTGGATATCTTCATATAAAATTTTACGAACCAAAGCTAAAAACGTTTGTTACATATTACGATTCGGTGTGAATGATGTTAACTGTCCCATCACTCTAGGATTTGAAATAAATAATTTCTAATGCCTAATGATTCCTGAAGTCAACAATTTTAATAATAAGTAAATAAAATTCTTTAAAGGTTCCATAATTGGCTTATTATTTTTTGATGGACCGAATGATATCGTAGCAATGGTCCATATCTGCTGATAGTATCCTTAATTCGTCCAAATGCTCGTATGTGCAAGTTATTACTGGTGGTAGGACCTCTTGTGAGTCCGTACGGGTAGGTACTACCACCCTGTCTATTTCTGCCGTGAAGCAGTAATGCGTTTCGGTTTGAAGGGTCGGGCAGCCGCTGTAACTATAGTGAGACCTTAGAACTTATATCTAATGGTGGGTGGCGCATTTACGTTGTAGATGCCTATGGGCTCCAGTAACAACTTAACAACTAGGCGGGCTGTGAACTCGTCCATCCATCTAAGATATAAAAATTAAAAAAAATAATGGCACGACCTTCAAAGCACTCAAAAGACACCGTGGAGACATTCCAGAGTCGGATGATAAGTGTCAAAAAAACTCTGGAAACGCAATGTAGATGAAGGCATCAATTCCAAGTAGTGTTGATGAACTCTGCTCCGATGGCGGGAGGTGTGATGGTGCGTGGATGGGAGAAAAGGAGATGGGGTTCAAGAAACTTCCTGACAGTAGCCAGAGCTGATGTAAATATATAAATATACATAACACTCACAAACAAAATGCTTATCGGTGTCCAATAACTGAAAGCAAATAGCCAGGGCTGTGCCTGATACAAGCATCTGCATTGACGCATCATTGATCTACGATGGCAGGTGGATGGGGGAAAAGAAGATGGGGTTCGAGATAATTCCTCACAATACCCAGAGCTGGTGTAAATATACAAATATACATAACACTCACAAACAAAATGCTTATCGGTGTCCAATAATCGAAAGCAAATAGCCAGAGCTGTGCCTGATACAAGCATCTGCATTGACGCCTCATTGATCGGCGCGTCTCCTTCATAGAGTATATCTTCCGCTTTCTCCTTCGTCAGATTAAGTTCTTCTCGGCCAATCATTATTATGCCTAGGCAATAGTTTATTTAGTTATTTCCAATATTAAGTTCTTATGGATTGGGGCTTTAGTGTTCCTTAAAAGCTATGACATATTATGTCTGTTCGAATGATGGGGTCCCTTTCTTAAGCAATGCGCCTAACGTTGCCGTAGATAGCAGCGACTGCTTACCACCATGAATTTCCTATTACCACTGTCATAGCCTAAAGGATAAGACGTCCGGGGCATTCGTGTTGAGCAATGCACCGGCGTTCGAATCCCAGGCGGGTACCTATTTTTCTATTGAAATACGTACTCAACAAATGTTCACGATTGACTTCCACGGTGAAGGAATACCATCGTGTGATTAAAATCAAACCCGCAAAATTATAATTTGCGTAATTACTGGTGGCAGGACCTCTTGTGAAGGACCGCACGGGTAGGTACCACCGCCCCGCCTATTTCTGCCGTGAAGCAGTAATGCGTTTCGGTTTGAAGGGTGGGGCAGCCGTTGTAACTATACTGAGACCTTAGAACTTATATCTCAAGGTGGGTGGCGCATTTACGTTGTAGATGTGATATGGGCTCCAGTAACCACTTAATATCAGGTGGGCTGTGAGCTCGTCCACACATCTTAGCAATAAATAAAATAATAAAAAAAATGATTGGGGCTTTAGCGTTCCTTAAAAGCTATGACATAATATGTCTGTTCGAATGATGGGGTCTCTTTCTGAAGCAATGCGCATAAAGTTGCCGTTGATACCAGCGATTGCTTACCACCACGAATTTCCTATTGCCACTGTATTTTACCCAGTATAAGGCCTCAAATTAAAAACGCAGTGGCATTTGTTGGCAACGTAAAAATTGCCACAAAAACTTAAAACGTATTAAAGTATTTTTATTCAAATCTGAATAGCTCTTCGCCGTTAAATCACCGTCATTTGACTGTATGGTATCAGCAAAGACTTTTTAATGCATAGATGTTAAATGTTGTCAGTAACCTTTAGACATGAGCCGTAAGTCTCAGTTTTTACAAAACAATGGTTGCCCCACCCTTCAAACCGAAAGGCATTACTGCAGAAATAGGCAGGATTGTGGTATCTACTCAGGCGGGACACACTACCATCACTCAAAAACTAGATACGGTACAATACCAGTCTTGAACACTACAGGAAAAATTGAGACCTCAACCAAATGTTTCAATATAGGTGACGATACGGATGTTTTTCTATCACGTCTGCCAGTGTGAAGCAAAAAGTTTTAGCCTACTGAGTTTTTCGTCGGATCTTCACAGTAGGTCGCGATTCCGATCTGGTAGTAGATTCGGCGAAACACTACTCTTCCTAAGACTAGTGTCAGCAAATTCTCATAGGTTGAGCCCGTGGGCTCAACTAACCGTAAGGGCGTAGCCGGAATAGCCTCATAGACCAGCGAATAAGTAGGGGAATAAAAGCAAAAAGTGTGTCCTTAATTTCCTTTTTTTTTATTATTTGCTTAGTGCGAGTTTTTTAACGTTCTCGATAACGTAAAAGTAAGCTCATATTTGTATGGAATGGCATCGTTTGCCTACGTTTGCCGCTAAGGGCGCTGTTTCAACTGCATACAAAACTGAGCTAACTTTTACGCTATCGAGAACGTTAAAAAACTCGCACTAAGCAACGTTAACGCACACCGTTTAGATCCCATTGCTCGTACAACTCTGGATGGGCGTGCTTGCAGTGTGGCCAGAACAAGACAAAGTTTATTCTCTCTAGATGTGGCACCATCAGTTCTGCTCGGTGTCGCTTCCGGGCAGCTTGTCGAGCCACTCGACGATCATGCTGGGCGGCGACCTCAAGCTCTTTTTCCATAGATAATTTGTTAAACCATACCTGTTTACATAGAATCGTGTGAACAATTGTTTTACTGGTGGTAGGACCGCTTGTGAGTCCGCGCGGGTAGCTACCACCACTCCGCCTATTTCTGCCGTGAAGCAGTAATGTGTTTCAGTTTGAAGGGTGGGGTAGCCGTTGTAATGAGACCTCAGAACTTATATCTCAAGGTAGGTGGCGCATTTACGTTGTAGATGTCTATGGGCTCCAGTAACTACTTAACACCAGGTGGGCTGTGAGCTCGTTTACCCATCTAAGCAATAAAAAAAGAGCAATATTTCATAAATATACTCATTACGTCGACTAACATAACATATATTAATTTCATTATTTTCGTGAAAGTAATTCGTCAATATATAAGTAAATGAGTACATATTATTATTTCTTTAAAAATTTTAGAGCCTTCTAGCCGGTTTTGAATACTGGCATAATCGGATCGCTTTTTTTCATTGCCCTTATAGGCGGACGAGCATACGGCCCACCTGATGGTGAGGGATTACCGCTGGCCATGTACATCAGCGATGCCAAGGGCAGAGCCAATCCGCTGCCGACCGTTAAATACCAGCTACCAGCGAATAGGTAGGGGGGAAAAAATATTTTTTTTTATTATTGTATTGTACTGTATTTAAATATGTATTAAATTATTATTGTCTAATTATAATTGCATAAATTGATAAAAAAATGCCATGCAATAGCTTTACCGCGGCAGTCCCCGAGTGCTACACGTGTTTTTAAGCTATTGCATAGCTTTTATCGAGGACATTGAGCGCGGAAACCGAATAAAGAAATTCCGTAACGAACATAAAACTTAACAGTCCCCACTCCGCCTACCATGTAGCTCGCGTTCAACACATTCACACGTTGCGCTTGTGTAGTGTTTGTGAATAAGCGCGCGGCGTGACGTCGCACTGCATGCGCATCATGAAAAATCTGCCCATCTCTCTCTCGCACGGTCTAGCTTATGAGTGTGAAGGGGACAGTTAATGTTTTTTTTTATTGTCCTTGTAGGCAGACGAGCATACGGCCCACCTGATGGTGGGTGGCTACCGTTGCCCATGGACTTCAGCAATGCCAGGGGCAGAGCTAATCCGCTGCCTACCGTTTTGCTTTTGTTAATGTTTATTGTATAAAAATATAGCGTGTTCTTATTTTTTTCAGATCTCCGTCTTGCGCTCTTTGATGCTTACTAATCGATTTATAAGTTCCCATAAGACTCATTGTAAGTCAGCTTACACGTTGTAATGCGAGATTAAAAACATTACGTACCTACCTATAATGCACATAATTTCACTACTAGCGTTTCCAACAGAACGAGGCGTTTATAACACTGACTGTGTGTTCTTATCTTTATCATTCAAGGAATTGTAATTAACAAACTATTCATAATAAATTATCTGGTTTAAGCATTTTTTTTAAATTTTTTTTATAGAACTAATAGGGTCTCAAAATTAAATATAAGAGCTTCTTTTATTGCCTGAATAGTTGAACGGCTTCACGGCTCATCTATTGTTAAGTGGTTAATGGAACCTACATATGTACATCGACGTCAATGATGCCACCCACCTTGAGACATGGTTTTCGATTTTATAGTGAAATTAATGTCCTACCAATCGTACGCTAACGCATGTTTAATTACTTACCGAAACAGGCAGCTTGATGCTAGCTACCCATGCGGGTATAAAATACACCCTACAAAGTAGGGACCACAGATCATAGAAACACATGAGTTTCTATGATCTGTGGTAGGGACACACAAAAAAAAGTGTGGTGTCGTGGGACACCGAATAGGAACGAAGTTGCTTATTATAAGAATATTAATTTTAAGTTCTATTCGAGGTATAAAGAAAATAAAACTGGAGGTTTCGCAACAAGCCACAGTCATTCGATAACGTGCCAGCTTACTGTGGTACACTTCATTCACGGCTGTTTGCTTAAGAGTTAGTGTATTGCGCAAACGAACGCTCTGAGATCGTGGTCAATGAATGGTAAAAAATATGTTATTTTTTGTACGTTATGACAAAGTTAAGTCGTACACTGTATGCATTACTAATAAAAATCTTACGTTACGGACGTTTTTTCCCGGTTAGGGTACCCCTCCGCATCTTCCCATAAGGAACTTCGTTCCAATAAAAAAAAGATATCTAAATATAATTTTGAAAATTACACTTTTACTGTGCACGATGTTTTTTATTCCTTCGTCACGAAAGTCGTTCGTGAAATTAGCATTTAGATGTTAGAAGTTTTAGAATTGTAGCGAAATTTTGTTTTTTGTTTTAAATTCATTGTATCGTGACTAACAATTTCGTCGGGCGTGGGCTCACTCAGGTCATACGTTGGTCTTTCGCTCTCGTATCCTTCTATTTCCTTTTTGTAAATATTCACTTCACGTTTGGCTACTTCTGCGAATTTGATGCTGTCCACCCCACGAAATATGTTTGTAACTTTTTGTTTCTAAACAAACATTAATATATCGATTAGACGTTTTATAAGGACTAGAGGTCCTGCAGTAGTCGAAATTCGACTATAATTAATTGGAATTGTAAGTTTGTACACTATTATGATTGTATTTTATACTTCTATAATCACAAATTTCGCCAAGACTACACTGTAAAAAATATTAACAAACAGACAAACAATATTTAATCTATTCTCAATTTGACAACAGGCGTCAAGAACAAAAGTTTGACAATCACTTGACAATAAATAGTATGCATGCGTGTAATGTTTTCTTTATTGATATAAAGTATATTTTACGCATTATTTAGAAAAAAATTTAGCATTGTGCACTTCTTCTCTATATTCTCTATAAGTGTGGAAAATTTCATATTCCTCCGTCCGCGCAATTTTCGTAAAAAGGGACACAAAGTTTTTGCTTCACGTATTAATATATAGATTGCAAATATTAAGACAAAAATCGGTACTGTCAAAATACAGTATGGATATAATTCCATTTGAATTAAAACAGAAGAAACAAATGTCTCGTAGTGACGATTAAATGAAAAAAAGGTTATTCAAATTTTAAGTCAGAAAAGGGGCGATCGGACAATAGTTGTCCAACGTTTTGTTCTTTTCGTTAATGAAAAAGAACTTACAAAAATAAACAAGTACACTGGTTCGCTTTGATCGCGGAATCTCCGTAATGAATCCACTTCATCCGACGGCACCTATAAAATAAAAAACTAATTTTCAAAATTAAAAAATATAACACATGCTTAAAATTTTTTTTGTTACGCTTAAAAAAAGCTTTGTAAAGATCGTAAAAATTTTTAGCAATAATAACACGGAGTGTTACCGTTCTTGAAATGTAATCTTATCTTATCTTATACCTTTAAACGAGCAATATAAATCTTTTATATATAATTTGAATCTCGGAAACGGCTCCAACGATTTTCATAAAATTTAGTATACAGGGTATTTCGGGGTCGATAAATCGATCTAGCTACGATTTATTTTCAGAAAATTATGTTTTATTCGTGTTTTCAATAATCAACTCTTCCCGACTTCTATTGGCGAATAATAATACTATTTTTCTTAATTGAGGGCAACTAACCGCTTTAAAGACAAACGAGATGAGGTTATAAAAAAAAAATCTCGTCATCGGTCATCATCTAGTATTTATAATTTCATAAAACAGAAAATGCGCAAGTCAATTTTATCATGATACATAAATTCCTACATTACAACTATTTCCGAAGCCGAAAGGAGGAAGTAGCCTTAACCTTAACCTTAATATTGCCATATTTCGTGTATCAACAATCTATTACTAGCTTCGTGGTATGAAATAGGCACGATATTGTAAAACGTAAATCATAGAAAATGAAGTGAGCGAAACAAAAAAAAAACGATTAACTTCAATTTAAAAAGAAAATAATACGTTATAAATTTTAAATACCTATAAAAATTTACCTTCAGCAGAATAATTTTCCCATTGCTCCAATCGTACTTGATGATCGTGAAAAGTCTATCGAGTGCAGTACAAGCGCCTACGAATTGGCTATACACTTCGGCACCTAATATTAAGAAATCAATATAATTTACGAATTTGCATATTCAGTGGCAGCAAGTTCTGAGCATAAATCGTTTGCTACCACTGCCTTGTCTATACCAGTTGTAAAACTCTCTTGAATCCGATCCATAAGGTCTTTATTTTACTAAAATAGGGAATATTTTTCCACTAAAACAGAGACAGTATATGCTGGAAAACCGGTCATCATTCTCGTCGAACCCGTCGCTTGGGACGAAGGGCTCGACGAGTAAATTAACCCACAGACACAGCCCACTGAGTTTCTCGCCGGATCTTCTCAGTGGGTCGCGTTTCCGATCCTGTGGTAGATTCTGCGAAGCACGGCTCTTGCTAGAGTTCGTGTTAGCAACGTTGTCAGGTTTGAGCCCCGTGAGCTCACCTACTAGTTAAAGTTACGCTGAAATAGCCTCTCAAGACTATCGGCTTAGGTAGGAAAAAAAAGGTGGAAAAAGTTACACAAGTGAAAGAGTTTTTTGACACCGACTAAGCCGTGAGCTTACACGTCCATAAAAATTCATGGTAAAATTTTAAACTTGACAAACACTAAAATAATGTTGCAAAAATATGAGTACTCATTTAGCTTCCAATATTCGGCTGGAACACTTATTTAAATTCTAACATATCCATCATGTCGCCACAGTAATCGCCACCGGAGAGCACTTAGGTTACCTTGATAATTACCTAATACAACGCTGGTCCACAATGCGTTTTCCACGAAAGTTTTTGTTAGGTCATAGCAAACTACGAAATGAATTAGCTCCTAGGTTTTGCAAGAATGCCGTATATGGCATGTAGGTACTTCTTCAAACGAGACCTGAGAAAAACTCCCTTCGCAACTACGACAACTAATCAAATGAACGAATAACTTTTCGTCCTATATTTTTGTGACTAACAGATAAGGGCTTCTGAATTCGTCCTTAATATGTTTTTAAACTCCTTTTCGTTTTTTATTTCGATAAACAAGTCGATCTTCCGTTTTGCCATTTTCAGTATTAATTGAAAAATTTAAACTGCTTGGTCATGCTTTGAACTATTTTAGCTACACCTGTTTTTACTTCAAAAACTTTTTATTTATATTTATTTTTATTATTTAGGTGGGTGGACAAGCTCACAGCCTACCTGGTGTTAAGTGGTTACTGGAGCCCATAGACATCTACAAGGTAAATGCGCCACCCACCTTGAGATATAATTTCTAAGGTTCTATTCTTCTATTCTTTCTAAGTTCGTATAGTTACAACGGCTGCCCCGCCCTTCAAACCGAAACGCATTACTGCTTCACGGCAGGAATAGGCAGGGTGGTGGTACCTACCCGTGCGGACTCACAAAAAGTCCTACCACCAGTATCAAACTTTAAAAACTATTGTGGGATATTAGGAATTTGAAAATTTTAATCGTCTTTTTTACCGATTTACTGGAAACGGCCGACAAATATTTACAAAGATTTTAGGTATTTAAAGAATTACAAAGTCAATAATGATAAAATGTTACAGAAAAGGGCATAGTTCGGATTTAAATCGTTAAAATCGTAAAATGGTAAATGTAATTATCAAAATTGTGGTGGGGTCTTCTTTGCCCAATATTTATTTTAAGAAACTAGCTAACCTCATTACCCCACGAATTGTAATTCGCTCCAACAGAACAGTGCCATCTATTAGTTGACACCGGCTTCAGTTGAAAGCACTATAAAGGGAAAAAAACACAAAAATTACAAAACTGTCAATAGATGTCGCACTTAGATGACTATTAACCATGGAGTTACCTACAACATTAACCACTGAAGTATACTAAGGTCTATGCTATTAACCGTCAATTATTTCGCTGTATAGTTTTGGTGTTATGCAGGAGGCAACAATCAACCTGGTGTACATAATATAATATACTATCTAAGCGTATACTTAATAATCAGGGCCCATGGGCGATACTTCTTGTGGCGGCAACGTTGAAACGACCGTCCCATTTAAACAAGCGCAGCGATCCTTCATAACCACTCTCGATGCTTTTAGGCATTACAAGCATCGGTCAACTTATTCGTTGAACCCGTTTCAGCGACGAAGGGTTCGGCGAGTAAATGAACTCACAGACACAGCGCACTGACTTTCTCGCCGGAATTTCTCAGTGGGTTGCGATTCCGATCTGGTGTAGATTCAGCCAAGCAGGGTCCTGGTTAAGGCTAATGTTTACAAATTATTCAGGCTGACCACCATGAGCTCGTTCTACACGTAGCCATAAGTAGGTCAAAAAAAGGACGAGTACAACATCGAACACGCAACAACCAATACCTCAATTCAGTCCACCCCAGTGCTACACCGCTCAGCGTTGAGTGCATCTCAACATGCTTTAACACCGGTCACTCACATTCGCGCGAATACGCAAACCCGCAAGTGTATGACGACATTTGCAAATTATTAAGCAAAGTTTTCGCTGCATTCGTGGTTTTCCAAGCCGTGTCGGTTTTTTAACAGACATCAAAGCGCGCGAACTGCGATCCTTCGCGTAGTCTCCCACACATTCGTGTGGCCAGTTGCGCCCAGGATTGCGAAGGCAACGGATGTTTCGCTATTTTCATAGATCGTGACGTCTACTGTGTAGCGTATCTTCATCAAAAGAAATCCCATAAAAACAGCATGGCTATAAATGATGTCTGGGAAAGAATTCAAAACTCTTTTTCTCTTCAATGTTTTATTGACGAATTAAAAAGGAGGAGAAATTCGTGAGACATTCGTAAACAAGTGAAGGAGGAAGCGCAAACGGGTTCGCAAATTGCAAACATTCGTACAATGTACGAATATTTGCGCACATGTGAGTGGCCGGCATAACACTATCACACGTAAATGTATGTACTGTCTGGTGTTTTTAAATGCGTACAAAAATATTTCTGTCAATACAACACATCAAAGAAAACTTTAATAGACTGAAATCTATTTTTTGTGATGTAGGGATAGCTGCCGGTCCCAAGGTATTTCTAGTTTCATTAGCTAAAACGGCTAAATGAGTACGAAATAGTCTTGGGAGCTTCAAAATACACAACGAGAACACTCTTTTTAATTAGGAAAATACATTATTTTACTCTTAAATTAAAATACAATTTATTTTTTTTTAAATTGCAATATTTTGTTATTCGTTTCATTTCACCATTTATACTGATAACTGACAAGACTTTTCCTAAAAAGATTCAGTATAGGCTAAGATCCTTTCGCCTGTTTCGTGAGATAAATAAAATATAACACTGTCGGCCATATTGAAAATTTTAGTAAATCGGGAATTATCGTCTGCAATGGATTCTTACTTTTCTAAATCANTTTTTTTTTAAATTGCAATATTTTGTTATTCGTTTCATTTCACCATTTATACTGATAACTGACAAGACTTTTCCTAAAAAGATTCAGTATAGGCTAAGATCCTTTCGCCTGTTTCGTGAGATAAATAAAATATAACACTGTCGGCCATATTGAAAATTTTAGTAAATCGGGAATTATCGTCTGCAATGGATTCTTACTTTTCTAAATCAATTTGTGAACATACGTCTGTTGGGGCTTCGCCAATATTATGTCATTTGTTCATTGTTTTTCAATCCGACCGTGATAATTGCAGAAAATCGTCTTCAGTTTGACGAATTACACTTGAGTTTTGTTGTTGTCTAGAAAACGACGACTCTGGAGACATCTTGTGAGTGATAAGTCACTGTCGATAGTTGTCCGATTTTGGTGTTCAGGTGAAAAGTTTTCATATTAATTCAGCTGCTGATTCTGGAGTCCTAAAAATGGACGTGTCATGGGGTACGTACTGTTTAATACAAGAACAAAATAGATTTTATAAATATCTACATTCGTAATGTCAATCGTGGTACATTCCAGACGCAGATAACTTCGAGCCCAAACTCCCGACCACGTTGGCAGCTTCCAACAAATGGGAAGGGGAAGACGAGGATGATAACGTAAAGGTAATCATTGCTGTGCCAAGTAGTTTGTATACAGTGTTCTAACTTCAAAATGTATTACGAATCTTCTTAAAACAGTACATAACCTAAATGACTGCCTACGTGTTGACGTCAGACTTTATTCGCAGGAAAGCTGGGAGGATGAGGAGGAGGAAAAGAAAGACGAAGAAAAGACTGAGGCAGCGCCACCTCCACAACCGAAACCTAAAAAGAAAATACACGATAAAATAGCCGAAAGAGAGGTATGGTGCCTTTAAAACATATGTTTAATGATTTTGGGATTTTAAACTCTAAACTCTACTAGAATAGCATCTAGTTTATAGAATAGATAATTATAATTATATGGTAACATAAATTACTACCCATTTAGTGGTATTTTAACACATGAACTTAATAGTTTTGTTACACATAAACTTGGTAATGTTGAGCATTGTTGAAGCCAATTGCATCCTCGATTAACCAAAAGTTGTCTAAAAATAATTTTAAAACATTTAATTGCATTGTATACATACCAAAAATAGAAATAAGATTTGAAGGAAAAATAATCTATGTAGTCTATTGTAAAATTTAAGACTTAATATATATAGACACTGATATTTATTGCCCGCTTCGCCATGATCATCCATCTAGTGGAATAGATAAAATATGCACTCCATTTGAAATCAGTTTAAATGTTCTTTTTTTTATAATACCAATCACTGGCAAATTATCTTAATTATCATCTTCTTCTTTGTTCTTTCCTATTACTCTCTGCTGGGTTGTAGGGCTCGAATCAAATTCTTCGGTTTGCAGTCAATGGTATTTTTTTTATTAATAGTGAAGAAAAAACTGAAATAAAATAACTAAATCTGTTGACAAACAGAAGAGGAAATTGTATTTAGCTTTTTATTGTACCCATCTATGTATAAATTAGATTCACATAGTCATTAGATACCTATCTAGTTTAACATTAGCCAGTGTTTGTCTAAAATTTGTTTTGCAAAAGTCATTATATATAAAATTTGTGGAGATAACTTATTATATTATGAAATTACAGTTACTCTGATGCAAATTTCAACTATAAATATTAACACAAAAAAATTATTAAAAAGGACAAGTTAAATATAAATAATTTATAATAAATATCAAGGTTCCAGTATGCATAAAGAAGGTTAACAAGATAGATTACTCATGGACTATCATCACCTTGCAATTAATATTAAATTCATTTGACAGCATTAAATATCAGAATAATAATTAAAATATATTAAGAACCTTTAATTTTTAATATTTAAAAAACAACAGAAAAGAAATTAGTGATAGTGAGGGTGTTCCTGTTAGGTAACATAAAAAGTGGGATTTAAAAATAATAATTTGCTAACAATTGTTCACTCAGTAATGATAGCTGACAATCCCACTCAGTCATCATATATCATCATCCTTGAAATATTGTGTGTCAACTTTGAACCTGGTTATTATTGATTATGTGCTCTAATATGGTTAGAGAAGCCAAGTTTTGTCTTGAAGACTGTTGCAGGGCGCACAATACAACAGGTCATCAGCATTGTACATAAAGTATAGGAGGAAGGCTTTGAATGTGTCTTCTTTATAAGGCAGTTAACGTCTAAATCTTGTATACACTTTTTTCAAATCTTGAGACAGCTTTGTGAACATAACTATATCATTCTGGACTCCGTTGTGTGCGATATTAGACACAGTTGGATGACATTCTAAAACATCCCCTGTAACATCAGCATTGCCCTCCTGGTGCACACTGTCCATAATTCAGCTGTTAGTAAAAGACAAATTTAGGAAACTTAGAGTCATCCACACTTGTTAGCAGTGCTTCAATACTATTTAACTTCATCCTCAATATCTCAGTTTGAGACTTGATCTTGCCGCTTTATGCAAAGTATGGATGTTAAACACTTTATGTTGATGGTGTTGCTTGATATCACCTCTGTAGTCCTGGTGGCATAAAGCAATACGATTACCTTATATACAGCGATCGTTGTGTGCGGACAATGGTCATGTGAGGCCCTGACTGTTTTGCACAGCATTCAACACCCTTTGCAATTAATGAGGAATTTGTATTAAAATTTTGTATAGGGTATGACAATATTAATTTAAAGCTTAACCTACATCATGTTTGGGATAATAACCAAATCTAAAATACGATAATTCACCAGAAAAATTAATATAGTTTCATAACTTCATAGAATTGACAGGTTATAGTTGCTCTTGAATTGATATGATATTCAGAATATTAAAATTCTACTAGCGACAAGAACGTGAGAAGGCTGAACGTCTCGTGACAGAGAAGACTGCAGAAGAAATGACTCCAGAACAGAAGTTGGCTGAGAAACTTCGCCAGCAGAAGCTACAGGAAGAATCAGATTTGCGACTAGCCATGGAAACCTTTGGTATGCTTGATTGATTTAGTGTGCTCGTATTACAGTTTGTGGATTCCAAAATTAGATTAATTTTAAGCAATAATTAGTAGACATTCTAAAAGAGGGTTTATAATCCCTAATATAATGAAGTCGTTGTGGCCTAACGGATAAGACGTCCGGTGCATTCGTGTTGAGCGATGTACCGATGTTCGAATCTCAGGCGGGTATCAATTTTTCTAATGAAATACGTACGTATTGTTCAGCAAATGTTCACGATTTATTTCCACAGTGAAGGAATAACATTGTGTAATAAAAATGAAACCCGCAAAATTATAATTTGCGTAATTACTGGTGGTAGGACCTCTTGTGAGTCCGCGCGGGTAGGTACCACCACCCTGCCTATTTCTGCCGTGAAGCAGTAATGCGTTTCGGTTTGAAGGGTGGGGCACCCGTTGTAACTATACGTGATACCTTAGAACTTATATCTCAAGGTGGGTGGCGCATTTACGTTGTGGATGTCTATGGGCTCCAGTAACCACTTAACACCAAGTGGGCTGTGAGCTCGTCCACCCACCTAGCAATAAAAAAATTTTAAAAAAATTGTGGTGAAGTGGATTATTGTGAGCCCTCATAAGTAGGTATTACCACCCTGCTTTTATCTGTTGTGCAGCAGCCATTATGCTTTTATGAGATATCAGGCTTCATGGCTGCATGTTAAATCATTGGCATGATGCATTGAACGTTTAAGATTTTAATGACATATCTAGTTTTCAATATCTCCATAAGAGAATGATATTTCTTCTAATTATGATCCTCAAATTAATTTATTTTGTCATATGATCTTTTTAGAGAGTTAATACTTATGTAATGTGGTATGTGAAAGTGTATTTAAATTGGGTGAAGTATGACTTTTCTTGAGTAGATGGGTGAACTGTAAATCTAAATGATTACAGGAGCCTACAAACATAGTAACATAAATGCCACCACCCACCTTGAAACATAAAGTCTTCATTGAATTGTGTAATAGCTGTTCTACCATTCAAATCAGAAGGCATGACTGCTTCACGACAGAATTAGGCAGGATTATGGTATCTACCTGTGTGGGTTTGTGTTGTGCCTTTCTTTCATTAAATGTCAGTTGACAATCATAGTATGCTGATTTTATACAGAGAATACTTTTACCCATTCTCTGGTGAAATCCTTAGTTGCCTTTCACAACATGCAGAGGAAAATAAGAAATACAAATATACTGCTTTTTTATGTTAACTGGTTGTGGTGTAACAATAGCATTTATTATTGCATAACTTTGAGCAATAATAAATAATTATTCCTCCAATAATCGATACATTATAATAATAATAAGGCTTTTGAGTAATATAACAAACATTCGTATTCTCATACAATAATCGTATTTTATTGTGTTCAAAACTACAAACAAATGTAATGATTGATTGTCCAAAATATATATTAAGATTACTTGGCACAATTTCTTGGCAAGTCTTAAAACTGCCTCAAGTCATATGAGACAGCGTTTTTATTATAATATGTCTAGTTATCAGATTAGATAACTTACCCATGAAAATGATTACAGGTGTAACAGAAGGTAACATTGGTAAACTTGACAATTTCCACCCAACTACAAAAGAAGAGTACACAGAGTTTGCTGATCTCCTTACAAAGAAGATCACTTTCTATAAAGCCAAGGATGAATTTCCAGGATTCATTGATGACCTAGTCAAGAATATTTTAGTCCAGAGTAAGTAAAATTCATAGTTTATGACTTCAGTGATTGTGTTTGTAATCTATATTGCTGATTTTTGCCACAGCAAAACTGAATGCATTACTGTTTCACAAAACAATAATATATTCAGTTTGAAGGGTAGGGTAGCCGTTATACTGCACAATTTAGACTTTAGACATCATGTCTCAAGGAGTGTGACAGCATTCACATTGTGATGTCACAGTAACTGCTTGTCACCAGGTGGGCCGTGAACTCATTTACCCAATAAGAAATAAACATATAGTTTATGCTTAATATGGGGCTTGGTTCTGCTTAAAACCTAATCATCATCGTGAATGAAATATCTTCTCATTGTCAGTGGCCACCAATGTAGAATATGACATTTATAAATGAAATATTTCATTTCTAGATTGAAGTTAATTCAGAGCAACATCATTATTATGATTGTGAACTTTCTTTCATTAGATGCCACTAAAGTGTAAAAAGTCCTATAAAATTTAATAAATCCTGGATTTTTTGTTGCGTTTCGGTTTGAAGGGCGGGGCGGCTGTCGTACTGTTAAAAGTGAGACCTTTACATCTCATGTCTCAAGGTGGGTGGCGGTATTTACGTTGTAGATATCTATGGGCTCCGGTAACCATTTAACATCAGATGAGCCGTGAGTTTGTCCACCCAACTATGCAATAAAAAAACATATCCAGATTAATCTGGTACGCAAGATCTCATCTAAAGTCATTAGGAAATAAATTTTCTTACTATGCTCAGAACTTTTCATATTACAAGAAATGTCATCTGAATATCTATAATTACAGTGTCATCAGCGGATATCCGACGAATAAAATTGACTGTCGATAATCTATATATTGAAAAACAGAAGGCAGAAAAGAATGATAAAACTAAAAAGGCCACAAAGGGCAAGGGCAAGGCCAAGTTAAAACTTGAAGGGGACAATGTGAGTTTATTTTTTATTTAGTTATCAGTAACTCGAACATCCAGTAATTAAGGAATGTTGTAAGGTTGCGTTTATTACTGGTGATAGGACCTCTTGTGAGTCCGCGCGGGTAGGTACCACCACCCTGCCTATTTCAGCCGTGAAGCAGTAATGCGTTTCGGTTTGAAGGGTAGGGCAGCCGTTGTATCTATACTTGAGACCTTAGGGCTTATATCTCAAGATGGGTGGCGCATTTACGTTGAAGATGTCTATGGGCTCCAGTAACTACTTAACACCAGGTGAGCTGTGAGCTCGTCCACCCATCTAAGCTATAAAAAAAACAAAACAGTCAGCTCTGATGGGCATAGCGGTCCTGTTAATATCTACAACAAACAATCAACATTCCAGTTTAAATCAGACTAAATTATGTTTTTATGTAGGCAGTTCACATGAGTTAAAGTATCTGCATGATATGTAATCTGCCTAAAGTCTACAATACGAATAAAAAAAATAAAAACAACTCAAAACACACAGTCCTTTGACTTCACATCTTAATAATCCAATTACAATATTTTGATGTTTATAAACAGCAGAATTTTGCATTAGCGCAGACAATTTACATTAAAAAAAAAAGGTTGTGTTTGTACTAAGGAAAACTTTTGTAAAATTACCGTGCAAATTTCACGAAATAACGATAATTCGTGTGATAATGATAAACGTGATTGATAAGGAAGTGTAGGCTGTCGATAACCTGATAACAGACCGCGCTAGTATCGACATAGGTCAAGTTCGTGCCTAATCTATACTTGAACAATAATTGTATTTTTAGCCAGTTTAATTTTGTGAAGGAAAAACAAAAACATTTGATTGAAACAAAATTTACCCTTGCAAGAACGTACCTAATGCTTATAGCGTTGCAATTGCTAAATTGGAAAAATATAATGATAGTTGTTGAATCGAATGCGATTGTGAGATGATCAGTGTGATAACCGCTTTAAATATTAAAATAACTTCATTGATCCGGTGAATTTCTGACGCTGCGAAAGTAGACGTTCGCAAATAAAATGTACATCTATACTATCTATACTAATATATAAAACTACAGTGACTTGAAACTTGGTATCCATGTAGAAAATACATGTACTTAATAGATAGGCTAATATTTATATGAGTGTTGGACTCTCTAATAATAATGACAATGAATAGTAATGTTAATTTTAAATGCCCAGCGAAGCGGGCAAGTACGGCTAGTCGCATATAAAGCCAATTAAACGGATCTTTATACTGCACTAAATCTCATTCAATAAAGAAACTCGTTGAGCTCACTCGTACAATTTTTTTAAATTTTCACTATTTTCTCAATCTTGGGTATTTATATATTTACACTTTTCTCGTTTCAGGCTCATCTCAATCAATACGAATCATATGGGAATTTCGATGACGACTACGATGATTTCATTTAAATAAAGCCAACAAGGAACTTATACACAAATTTGATGTCCGAATTCATTGAATTTTCAACTTCATTTACTATATAAAAAAAAAATACTTTCCTATATATATATATATATAAATGTTTTTTGTAGAATGATATTGCGTTAGTCTGTTTTCTTGTAATCTCGTTTTATTTATTGTCGGTAATCGATTTGGCATTGGCCAAAATCGATATTGCCGATAACAACAATCGATTTACGTAATTCGGACATCAGGTAAGAAAATAATCATAGCATTGTGTTACGCTAACGGTAATGGTAATGGTGTTGCTATGATAAAGTTTTAAACATCCGGTTGGAATGCTTAAATTATCGATTACGTAATACATAGAGTATCTTTGGTGACATAAAATCGAACTGAATTGTAAGTAATCGGGCTGTTACCTTAATCCATTGTTGTTACTTCTATAAACTAATCTACACAATTTAGCAATCCAACTCGATAAATATATAATATGCCATTGTAAAGCATATAAACATACTATATATATGTAATGTACAGTTTCATTGAACGATTATTGGTCCGATGTTATATATAGAGAATAAATTTTTTTATTGTGATATTATTTTTGTTTTATTTGATCAACACGTTTTATTGTATTATTTGTATGTTCAATATTTGTTAGCAAATGACCAAACACTAGTGTACACATTTAAAGGTCTTTGCCAAAAGCATTTTTTTGTTGGGATTAGATTAGTCCGTGTCAAATCGTCTCACAATAAATAGGTTTCAAACTTGTCGTGTCTTTGTCTTTATCACCCCGCACAATATACACGTTCCAGTATAAACACAGACTCAAAAAAATATTTCGACCGTTCAAAAACATAAGACGACTAATATTTATAATCAATTATTAATTACGTATCCCATACATTAACATCTGTACAGACATTGAAAAGTTGCGATGAAATAGACTCGTAAACACATTGCTTTTTAATACGCTTTTATTAGCTTCAGACGTATGTATGTTTGTAACGGAATCTTTGAACATGATTTTGACCCCCTTCAAAACGTTGGATTAACTCGAAATTTGGTATACTTATTAACCGGTCGATGCCGGTGCTCAAATCCCGCAGGCGGGTACCAATTTTTCTAATGAAGTACGTACTTAAGAAGAGTTCGCGAATGACTCCCGCGGTGAANTTAATACGCTTTTATTAGCTTCAGACGTATGTATGTTTGTAACGGAATCTTTGAACATGATTTTGACCCCCTTCAAAACGTTGGATTAACTCGAAATTTGGTATACTTATTAACCGGTCGATGCCGGTGCTCAAATCCCGCAGGCGGGTACCAATTTTTCTAATGAAGTACGTACTTAAGAAGAGTTCGCGAATGACTCCCGCGGTGAAGGAATAAACAGCGTGTAATAAAAAATAAACCCGCAAAAATTATAATTTGCGTACCTAATTACTGGTATTGTGAGCACACACGGATAGGTACCACCAACATGTCGGTGCCGTGAGGTAGTAATGCGTTTCGGTTTGCAGGATGGGGTCGTGCTATAAAAACGGAGACTTCGAACGCTTGTCACTAGGTGGGTGCCGTCAATTACGTAATTGATGTCTTGGCTCTGGTTTAACACCAGGTGGGCCGTGAGCTCGTCCACCTATGTAAGCTGTAAAAGTCTTTCGATATGCGTGTGGAAGAAGCCTCAATTGTATGTTGTGAATCTTAGATGGAGCGGGTGTCTACCATTGGAACCCTCGTTGCTTATCTATCGTAAGGTAGCACTGGGAAATTGCACAAATACAAAATATATTTTTTTTATTGCTTAGATGGGTGGACGAGCTCACAGCTCACCTGGTGTTAAGTGATTACTGGAACCCATAGACATCTACAACGTAAATGCGCCACCCACCTTGAGATATACGTTCTATAAGTCTCAGTATAGTTACAACGGCTACCCCACCCTTCAAACCGAAACGCATAATTGCTTTACGGCAGAAATAAGCAGGGTGGTGGTACCTACCCGTGCGGACTCACAAGAGATCTTACCACGAAACTAACTTTGCTTGTCTTATATATTATTATATTGTAGCAGTAGGCAGCGGCTTGGCTCTGCTCCTGGCATTGCTGAAGTCCATGGGCGACGGTAACCACTTACCATCAGGTGGGCCGTACGCTCGTCTGCCTACAAAGGCAATAAATAAAAAAAAAAGATAGACAGTGGCAGTGGGTGGGACAATAAACGATATTAATTTAGTTTATTATAGCATATAATATATACATAACATCCTGTATCAGTAACGAATAGGTTCGCATTTCCGATCGAAAACTGGATTCAGAATGTATCTTGTTTCGCAACTTTATGATGTAAGCCAATTATGTGTAATAATTTAAGAACGTGTTTAACTTTCAAGAATTAACCTTATATATTAGTCGGTTTGAATTTCGGGTGGGGTAGCCGTTGTACTGTGAAAACTGAGACCTTAGAACTCATATCTCAAGGTAGGTGGCGGTATTTACATTGTAGATGTCTCTTGGCTCCGGTAACCATTTAACAATAGGTGGGCTGTGAGCTCTTCCCCCAGCTAAGCTATATAAAAAAGTCTAGTCCAATAAACTTACAAACCCAATTTAATCTAACGAATACAGACCATTTTCGCGGTATATCTTCCGAAAATAACAACAAAGGGGATATTAGAAGCCTGCATGCATGAATAGCAGTATCTCACTCTGTTATTAATAAGCTTCACGACCGTATATTTGGGTCACAATACGACCGGTTAGCGCCTAATTAATCCATTAGCGGAAGAACACCAACAATGGTAAGAGGCAGACCACGATGATTTTATGTAACGCGGTAATATTTTTGTTTGAGTTTCATTATAGCTTAGCTTCCTGGATCACAATCTATTTGTCGAGAGAAAGTCGCTTGTAATCCGATTAGGTTTTGACAATGCACAGTAAATTTGAAATCATTTCTTAAAATGGCAAACAGTGACAAATTTACTTCAAGGAGCCCAAACGAGATTAAGCTATTTTCTTAAATTAATAGGAAAACATTGTGCCTTTAATAAACTATGAATACATGAATATAATTGTAGGTTTTAATCTCTCGTTTTTTTTATTGTTATTTGACATTTGAATAAATTCTATTTTTTTTTTTTATATGTCGTCTTTTACGTTTCATTTCACACAGAACGAACTAATAGTATTTTGAGGGTTTGGTAATGGTGCGTTTGGTGCTATTCGTTCATTAATACAGGAAGATTATGCCGTAAAAGTAGCTTTGTGGTTTGTTAATTATTATTGTCCCTCGCATTCGCGGGATGTTTTACTCCTAACATATAAAAGTCAAACACACCATTTCAACAATATCTATAATGTGTACAATATTAAAATATAAACCAAAAGTAAAGTAAACAACGCTAGGCACTAGAAGATACAAATTAAAACTAAAATTATGTACGTTTTTACATTCAACTTAAATCGACGCGCGCGAATTTTGTTGCATGACGTCACGGGACACCTGCGCGTCCGGGAACTCCGATGACGCCCGAGTGTCTCAAATATTAAAGTGTATAATCATGCCCGAGTGCGAACGAATGTTGCACGGGACTTTTTGGCGGGAACGCGAGGAGTGAAGATGTGTGATTTGTATTTGATTTATTTTGTCTATTTAGTGTTTCTTCAGGTTTAAATGTGTAATAATGGTGGTTTATTAACTGTTTAATATCTGTGAAAGTGCACAAATGTGGGAAAATAAAACAAAGCCGCTAGAAGTAACTTTTCGGGATCCTCCAAAAAGTCCACTGAAAAAAATCTTAGTAAAGGACCACCATTTTACTGAGATTATATTTCATCCCATATCATCTCATCTCATTTCATTTAATTTCATCCCAGCTGATTAATGTCTCCAATTAATCACCTTCATTTCATTTCAGTCCATAATATAATTTTTCATAAAAATATGAATATAAATTAAAATAAGACTGACTTACAGGTCTTAGTTACCACATCATAAAATCCATTAAAAAAAATAATGTTGCACGCTACAGCTTCATTAGCGACGACCGAAAAAAATACGTAATACCTACATATTTGTAATTTTCGTGTGTGTTATGTTTCGAAGACACAACACGAACAAAACGAACAGCCGGCCCTACGTTTCCATTGAGACCGCAAACCTTACGCGTCAAATGATCGTGAATAATTTACATTGCGCGCAAAACAAAAAGTATATAAAATATATAAATGATATAGTCCGATACAAATCACGCATGATCTACAGCTACTGGTCCCGAACTGTGATTCGCTGTACTATAAAAGAGTTACTCGTATATACATATGTACGTCTAACAATACTTAATCTATATATATAAAAAATGAATTGCTGTTCGTTAGTCTCGCTAAAACTCGAGAACGGCTGGACCGATTTGGCTAATTTTGGTCTTTAATTATTTGTCGAAGTCCAGAGAAGGTTTAAAAGGTAGATAAATATGAAAATGCTCCGAATTAAATGAAAATAACAATTTTGGTTTTCCTTTGATGTGTCCCCCGTCGGACGGATTCCTTTTGTTTGTTTTAAGTTTATTTTATACAAAAGTTTAGGTATTTTATTTATCGATTGAGGCACTACGAAGACTGCCGGGTCAGCTAGTTGAGAATAAAAATAAATCGAATCGAATCAAGTCGAGAAAAATCGAACATGATTTTTTTGATATTTCCGTCATAGTTCCTCCTAGATCCTGCCTCTAGGGTATCTAGTCCTACTGGGTACTGGACCAGATAATTTATAGTTTAATTGTTAAGCAATCTTAGAAAAGCAATTCAAACTTCAGGAATAGCGTTTATTGTATAAGATAGGCCCAATTATATATAAAAAATATGACAGAAAATCTAACAAAATGAAGTTATTTCATCTCCTTATAATTTTATTTATGGTTTTTTGAAGGTACCTACGTGTACATCTACTGGTACAACTTAGCTGAATCAAAGAAAACCATTATTTATTAACAAATTAACCAAAATCAAATTCATAAAACAATATTAAATACAATAAACAGATTCCTTACATTCAATAGAATAACTACTATATTTAGAACAAATGAATAAATAAATCTTTGAAAGGAGTTACATTCTGTTATTACTGGTAGTAGGACCTCTTGTGAGTCCGCACGGGTAGGTACCACCGGCCCGCCTATTTCTGCCGTGAAGCAGTAATGCGTTTCGGTTTGAAGGGTGGGGCAGCCGTTGTGACTATACTGAGACCTTAGAACTATATCTCAAGGTGTGTGGCGCATTTACGTTGTAGATGTCTATGGGCTCTAGTAACCACTTAACACCAGGTGGGCTGTGAGCTCGTCCACACATCTAAGCAATAAAAAAAAAATAAAAAAATCTTTATTCACAAATGGCGAAATTTCTGTAAACGTTTCTCAGAACCAAAACTCACAGTACTAGAATGTCGAAATGTGCAAATTATGCACAATGCAACATCATTCAAGATAAATTCAGTCGATTCGGACGTGTAATCTGTATCATACGAGAAATGCTACATTGTAGCGGTGTTACGCAATGATAACGTTGGTCACCTGAACGCTGTTATGTAAAAGAGCG